TGGAGTTTGAGCAAGGAGGTTTTGAGGGTGCCATTGTGGGGTTTGCAGGCTTTACCTATCGTGTTTCAAATATACTGGATTTCACTGAAATGTGCAGTGTTTTGGAAAGTAACCCCTGCGTAAATGGGAAGTTGCCTGTATTATGTTTCCCTCCCCACTTCGTACTAACATATATATGCAGACTTTTGCATGTGTTTTTGCAGCTAGAAAAGTACTAAAGTATATTATATTGTATAATCTATTTTGGATCACAGGATCTGTGAATTCCTATGTGTTGTTAGAATAGATAAGCGGGGAGAAAGCACCCAACTGGCTATGGGTGATCATGTCATTGTCAAGGCCTTCCAGTGATGGTACGAGACCATCATAGACCGATTCAACTAGATTCTCAGCATCTGCTTAAATATTGATCTTCCTGATGTTTGCACATGGGTTGTGTATTCCTCCAGGATTTATACCGAATAAATCAATGGATAATATGTTCCAACAGCTTCTGTCAGCATAGCAGGAGTCACATCCTACTTGGTATTCAATACTAGGCAGACACATGCACTGCTTATAATTTACACATGATTAGCTATAGTGTATTGTGTATCACTCTCTAAATGCAATAATGGCTTCAGTTCTTTTAAGCAAAACATTCTAATTGTCCTAATTAACTTCAGCAGCCACACTGGTGTTTGTAGAAAACAAAAACCAGTTCTGACTTTTTTTAAAAAAAGGAATGCCAAGGAGGAAAATGTGATTAATGGGAGCCATATGTTGCTTTTACACGTTTGTCCTGCAGTGGTTTGTAAGTCTGTAGCACTTCTAAACTAAAGCAAGTGGTCATCATATTGGAAAAGTGTCAGCACTTACATTTTCTGATACTTAGCCATATTTCGAAGAACAATGCAGATGACTGCTTCACCACAATACAGATGTTGTGAGCTTACACTAGTACTGGATCCACTTCAAGGTATTGCTCTTAGCCCTAAAAAGTTTGCGACCCAAGTATCTGTTAGTGCTTCTCTTCCAATACCAATCTCCCCAGCCTAACATTCTGCAGGAGGTGATCTGCTTGTGTGGCGTGTGTGTGTGTGTGTGTGTGTGTGTGCTTGAGAGAGAGAAAAAACACTTTCTGTGGTGCCACCCCATTTGTGAAATGCCCTCCCAGGAAACTTCCAGATGGTCAAATCATTTACATGCCAACTGATGACTTGATTGCTTATCCATGCCTTTTGATGTGTATTGACAATAGAGTTTGTGTTAAGTCCCCTGTGGGTACTTTCTATTTGACTTACTGCTCTTTTAATTTTTAATTTTTTTATGTGGGAAAACTAGTTTGTACCACATGTGAGATTCTTGTTTGTTAACTACTGATGGTTGCTACATCAGTTTTCTCTAATCAGAAGCAATAGAAAACTGCTATTTGTTCGAACCTGCAGCCAGTAGCGTTCTGTTTCCACTCCTCACATGCGAAAAGGGAAGGGTGAATTGTGTGAGCTCTAGTCTTGCTGTAGCATGCTGTTTTAACACATATCCATGATTCAGTTTTGTATCTGTTGTCAAAGGAGCACAAAACAGCCTGTCCAGCCATATAGCCAGGATATGGCCTTCTATGCAATGCAGCCCATATATAAAGCATGTGATACCATGACCTGCTTCCAGTCTCTTAAGAATGGTTAAGAGGATTATGTCTGCACTCACCCTGTTGCCTAAGACAATAAAGCAGTGACTCTGGAGTCATTACTGTAAAATATTATAGTTCAAAGGCTTCATGCATAATTGAAAACAGGCAAAATTATAATATATTTATGTAGCTATTTGAAGTATTGACATCTGGGTATATATAGGCTAGTGCGGTATAAGCATACAGAATATAATTCTATCCTTCCACCAAGCTATTGTCTGTCCAAATATATTATGCAAAATGTGGGACAAACTACGGTACTAAAAGTTAGCAGAATAAAGTTATTTTTCTAGCAGGCAACTTCTTGGTTCCGTTATTTTAAGGGTCGGACTTGGGGCAAACACTGGTGTGGCAAACTTAACTTAGAAATGTAACTTGAGTGTCTGTACTTTATATATTTCATTCTCATTCTCTTCCTCCCACCCCCTGCCCAGCTGAAAGGGAAACCTTGAGTTTAACCCCATTATTTTCCTGCAATACAATACTTCCATCCTTGTCCAAACCGTTTAGATGAAAGGTATGTGATAGAATCCATCTTCCCCCCACGTCTCAAAGTGCAGTTGACTTTTCTGCTCTATTGCCCATACACCTGCAAGCCTGCCCTTCATTTCCTCTTGTGTTGACCACAGTACAGTAATTTATTATTGAGACCAAATTCAAGATCACTTAACATGGATTAGTTATCCTCTAACAGCCATGAACTTTCTGGTTGTATTCAACAAGACTCATGCCACTTTTAATACTTCCTCTCTTGCTCCAGGCTGAAGCCCCCAGTGGTGTAATAGCAAAACATGCAAGAGTTCAGGGTAATAAGCATTTGGTGAGGTCTGCTGACAGCTCACAGTGTGGCTGGATGCAAGATAGTCAGATGTAAGACCAGCTGTTAAGTAGAGAGCTTGGAGCGTTGCTTCAGCGCCGGCCTGGAGCCAAAGGAGAAAACTGCTCAGAATTGAAGGGGCTGCATAGCCAGACTGGAAAATATACTTACTATATGACAGCAGACAGTGCTCTCCCAAGCTGCAATTGATCTTTAAGAAGGTCATTTGAAGCAGAGGATAAGGTCCAGGAAACCTCTTCAGGCACACAGAGGGTGGAGGTATTGTTCTTCTTGAAGGTCTTCTACCTCCTCCATGGAAGTCTCTAGCAAGGTGGTGACTTCAGAAGTTGTCTTCTGAACCAGTTCTTCCATGTTGTTGGAACCGTTTTTTGGTTGGGGTGGCGGCAGCTAAGATTTGGGGTGGATGCTTATGGATGTACTGAAGGATTCTAATCTGGTTCAGCTATTCTGAACTTGGAACCAGGGGTTTGCTAGTTCTGGTCAACCTAAAGTACACGGGGGGTAATCTTCTCAGTATTTCCTTAGTGGTGAACTCTTGCTTTTTCCACGCCCTTATTAAGCTAAGCTAAGGTAAAAGCTTAATAGCAGCATGAGGTCAGTTGCCATGGCAATCGCAAAGGAGGGGAAATTTCTCTAGCTGAGGAATTACATGTGCGCAGGGGAATATGCACAATGGCCATTGGTTATGCACATTAACCACTCTACATTACCCTTAAGATACCTAAAAGGTAGTTTTCCCATTTTTGAGAAAACTGTATGCCTATGGATTTGCTTATTCCTTTCAATGCATAATAAAACACTAATTTGTAACATGCAAAAGGTTGCATAACTATATTAATTTCCTCGTCGATGGCATGCCTTTTGTAGTGTGTTTTAGAGACAATATTTCAAATGCAGTTAATTGGAAAGTAAGCTGATAAGCATACAGTAGTCTTACTGTGAGTTGCCATCTGTTATACTGCAGACAGAAAGTATCACAATATTTATTACAATATTTTTATATAATGTATGGAACTTCTTACTTCATTTATCTTCGCAGCAGTTTTAGGAGGGAAGTTCTCCTTTCAGAAGATGGAGATTTCATACCCTAAAAGAGTAGGAGATTCAGAATGAACCTCTGGAGAGTTGTACTAAGTTAAGCTTTGGACACTTTTGAAAGAGCTGCAATGGCTCTTGGGGGGATATTAGAAAAGGTTCATAGTTTATCTCTATGGTTTTAAAAGTCAGAAAAAGTAGCTCAGGTCTAAAGTTTTACGCATAGCTGCAAAAGCTTCCTGAGGAGTATTTCACTGACCATTTTGCTGTTTAGTAATTTCAGTTCTAAATCCTGGTATGTTGGTGGGACAGGTTACCCGCCACACATTCAGGGTCCCATATATATTGGTGTGAACCTGAAGGACATGTGTACATTGGTGCATGCAATTGCTGCTGTCAGGGAGTAGCGCACTCTTGATTTTGGCAATTGCATGTAGCTAAATATCTCTTTAGATCTATACCATGGGTAGGCCAGATCCTGCTCAATCGCCTTCTAAATACGGCCCGTGGACGATCCTGGAATCAGTATGTTTTTACATGAGTAGAATGTGTGCCTTTATTTAAAATGCATCTCTTGGTTATTTGTGGGGCATAGGAATTCATATATCCCCCCCCCCCCAAAAAATATAATCCAGCCCCCCACAAGGTCTGAGGGACAGTGGACTGGCCCCGTGCTGAAAAATTTGCTGACCCCTGATCTATACCATTTCTGAATTAATGTCCTCTTGTGTCAACCCCCCTCCCCCACATGGTACACCAGGAATGTGCTGGGAAGAAGTGTCTTCCCTTCGCCGTCTCCATAACTTGTTTTCTTCCATCAAACATGCAGTTCTTGTCTGCATTCGGAAGCGGTGTAGTGCTAATGCTGGTTGACTTTACCACATGCTTTTCTCCACGTGCTTTTCCTAACAGTGGCTATCAGCCCTTCCTAATGGAGAGGGATCTAGTAGAAGATTAGTTAATTGCATTTCAAGGACTGCAGTGAGGAATTAAGAGTAATCAATGGGCACACATATATCCATTATTTCCTACCTTGAGTTTGTATGCCAAAAAGTGCTATAGAAATTATCATTTATAATCTTAATTATTAAACGATTTGCCATTAATGTGCCCGAGCTTTAGCATAGTTATTAACTGCTTCTGTGTAACTGCATGTGCCCCTAAGCTTCTTTTAGGTATTAATGATTTTAAGAGATAAAGATTACAGCACATAAGAATGGAGAGAGAGCATGGAAGAGTAACACAGCTGATGGTGTGCCTTGTGGAATAACTAAGAAGTATTCCTCTAGTTGCACTATTATAGTTATTAAGGTAAATCCTTCAGTTTTATGCCAACAACTTGAGGAAATCTCTCTCTTCCTTCCTTCCTGCCAGACACTTCCTTGTGTATTGGGGAGTGAAAGGGAAGCTGACTGTCTAGATTGCCTTACCCCAAGCAACATGCACTGCTCTGCTATGACCGCTCCCCTTCCCTGGGGGTGTGGCATTGCTGGCAGACATCCAGGACCTCACAGTGACCCAGGAGTGGGTGGAAGGATGCTGCCCACATCATTAGGGCTCCCGATTGTGTCATGCCCCCCCAGCTGACCAATTGGGTTAGCCGGGGGTGTGGCCACTTGCCGTTTAATCCACAGAGGGGAGGTTGTTGCCTCCACCTGCCCCTCTTTGTAAAGGGTATCCCATTAAAGGGATCCTGGGGTGTGGTTCCTGTCCGAAGCCTGGGCATGGGCTAGGGCCATGCCACGACCCCATCGGTGACCCTGGGGGATGCTCTTAATTGATGTATATCATAGGGCTCCCCCTATCGGTGGTTGACCCTTGAAAGACTTCTTGCAAACAGGCAGGAGAGTCAGGATATAGTCTGGCTTCACCTAAATGCCTAAGCCAAACCGCTCACATCTGTAACCAATAAAGTGGTGGCCTAATTTATCCCATTAACCCAACATACTTGTGTCTGTGTGTTTATTTCTGAGGGGAACTGCGGGGTCCGGGGCCGCGCCAAGCAAGACTGTATACCATTTAGCCAGCCTAGGCCTGTAAATGGTAGTCTTTTCAGTCTCAGTACTAGAGCACTCTTCAAATTTTCATCATGATACTTTTGAAAATAAACAGCATAATCCTAGACATACCTATTCAGGAAAGAAGTCCTATTGGGTTCAGCGAGACTTGGACCATAATAAGTATATATAGGATTGCAGACTAAGTCATGATGGAAAAAATATACATCTTATTTGAAAAACAATGAATTTGTGGGATCTATCAATAATAATGAAATAATTAATGGATTTTTATCTGTTGTGCTACTGCAGGTCAAGGCTACAGACAGAGATTCAGGGAATTTTGGGCATATTGAGTATTTTCTATATGATGGATTCCATAACTATGAAAAATCAAAAGCGTTCCAGATTGACCCAAGCAGCGGCCACATATGTGTCTCACAGGATATTGACAGGGAAGAAGACCCATCCACATATGATCTCCTGGTGAAAGCGGTAGATGGGGTAAGTTTCACACTTGAATAATTCCACTTTAGCAACCATTTGTTGTTTGTCAGGTGTGAAGGTAATACTCACTGTTTGTCACTACATCTGGTAACCTAGATCAGTTGTATTAATGCAGTCATGTTAATAAACTATAAATCCCGGGTCGTGTTCTAACGATCAACTTAAAATATAGTTTAGTGAGCCATTGTTTATAAACCGTAGCTTAGGGTTACATGTGAACCAGGCCACTTTCTGTGACTACATCTGGCAACAGGGAGTTCCCTAGGTCAGCTGTATTATATAAGGATTTACCTCAGTAGCAGTGAGTTTGTGGGACTTCTGCAGGGGATTTTGACAGGTGTGTGGGACAAACCTACTGTCATTTGTGTGACACCATAGAGACATAATAACATCAAGCGATCAACAGGTGGAAAGCTCTGCACACCTTCCAAATTTGGCCTGCAACACTGATCTTGATAAGGATCTGACCTGTGGAGCCATTAAGGTTCACCCCTTATTCCTTAGTGTGGAGCAGTGGACAATTCATATTTATGGTTTAAACTTAGGGAGAATGACATACTTTTTCACAGGGTTTCCTTTTAAAGTTTGTGAAACCTTGTTAGACCTTGCAAAAGGACTTAATCACCCCCTGAGTTCCATTTAAGTACATTTATTTAAGCATTTAGTGGAGAGATTTATAAACGGAAAGTTTCTTTTAAAAGAACATAAAACACATAATTAACTAGCTACATTTTCCTTATCAGGATAGCTAACATTTGGTTACTGACATTTCCAAGCAGCTTGCAATTGAGAGCAAATGGACACTTACCTTGTTTTTTGTAGAAACAGAGCCAGGCTTTGATTCTTCACCGATGGCATGAAAGCCAAAGAGAATCTGGCAATCTAGATTATGGCAAGGTGTTTCTAGGGAGCGCAGTAGACTATAGACTAATCAATAGGAGGTGGGAATTCACACGCTGCAATCAGATAGGTTGAAGTGACCATGTGTCTTTAAGGTGTTTCCTACATTTTCATTAATTAATAGTTTGCTGAGTCCTTGTGTGAGAGAAGTGGAGGGTAGTCCACAAACATTTGAATGTGGAATGAGGCTCTACTGGCTGTCAGTTCCTAGGCTTGAGGTATTAAAGAAGGAGGAAGGAGGTCGTTTTTCATTGCATTCACCCATTCTCCTGAAAACACATTTCTTTCTTTGGCATCGTTTTTCATCCCATTCCCAACTCCAAAAATCATCTGGAAAAGCAAACACCAAACACTTTGGACCAGCAATGTAAAGCACTGCATCTGACTAGTGTTGATGGGAAAGGTTTACAACTCCCAAGAATTAGGCTTCTAGCAGTAGTGGTCACTTTGAAGGGGGGGGGGGGTAAACTCCACCAAGTATTAGCGCTCCAGCTATGCAGGCCAGGTTGCTCTAGCTATGTAGGCCGGCAGTGGTTTTCCTGTCTGGCTTCCTGCTTTAGTTGTGCTGAACATGCCCAGCTATGTAGGCCGGCAGTGGTTTTCCTGTCTGGCTTCCTGCTTTAGCTATGCTGAAGATGCAAACATATACAATGCAAAGCAAACAATATATGCAAAGGGGGGGGGGGCTTAGCTAGCCTAATAAGGTAATGAAGTGTATCTCTGCCTGTTGATTGGGGAGCAACTGGGGAACCAAGCTTGCAGCTTCAGTATAAGAATGCTTGCAAGACAATAGGGGGCGCGGCCAGTCTTTGGAAGCTATTCCGCTGGCTGTCTCTGCGCAGATTCTGCAATAAACCTTTTTCTCTGTGAAACCCACCCTGGTGTCTGCTTGACTCCTTCACGCTCACGGCGAGGGCACGAGGTGACTGGATCCGGACCCCTTAGGTTCAGATATCCTAGCAACTTCTTTTGGGAGAAAGGAAATGACATCGTTTTCCTTCTTCCTTCACATGTTAAACAAACTTTTCTGTGAAGCCCAGCACCGAATATATTCATAGCATGCACAGACTCAAGTTGCCTTCATTGTACATTAATTCCCTTTATTTCTTCCCAGGCATTTCATGATGCTGTCTTGTAACTGCAGCATGACAATCTCGGTGCCAGCCTAAATAGACAATACAGCCATATGAGCTATTCTTGGGAGAAATGAAAGGCTCATTGAGAAATAATGTTGATGGATGCTTCAACTCCACAGCAATCACTGCTCAAGATGTGCAAACAATAAACAAAAGACCCAGTATAATTTTATGGGTGATGATGCTTTATACAGTAGATTTTGTATGAAGTCCTCTGCTTGAGTAGCAGGGCAGAGGTTCATGGTTGAGAGTAATGAGAAGCAGTTTCAGCTGTTGTAGCAGAACCTCAATGCTAAGTTGTAGAAGAACTGCGTATCTGACGATGGTAGAACTCTAGTCTCTTACAGCAATTAGGCATCAATCCTAAACACTCCTGCAAGGCTGTTTAACATAGTCAGTCTTACTTCCAAGTTGACATCTGTAGGAGAAATGACACATTGTGTATACAGTCATACCTCGGGTTAAATATGCTTCGAGTTGAGCACGTTCGAGTTGCGCTCCTCGGCAACCCGGAAGTAACGGAGCGCATTACTTCCAGGTTTCGCTGCTTGCGCATGTGCAGACGCTCAAAATGACGTCACGCGCATGCGCAGAAGCGGCGAAAAGCAACGCGTGCATGCGCAGACGTGCCGTCGCTAGTTACGTTTACCTCTAGATGCAAACGGGGCTCCGGAACGGATCCCGTTCATATCTAGAGGTACCACTGTATTGAAGAGTTTTGAAGCAGGAATGGTGCAAGATCGTGGCAGAGTCAAAACATGATTGGTTGTCACCGTTCATGGCAGAGATGAAGTATCTACTGAATTGCGATAAGGGACATTCCCAAATAAGCAATGGTATAATTTATTGATTTTATGAGTGGCTGGCCGCTTAGCTTTGCAAACTTACTGTTAATTGATATTGAACTGCAAGTGGGAGAATCTCTGTCCATTCCCCATGTGGCAGGAAAATTGATTGGTGTGTCCTCCAAGTTCCTGCATTATAAATGTGGGTTCTAGCTGTACTTGCTATGATCTTCGTATGGAGATGAGAGCTTTATGTCTGCTTGACACGGTGAAGGACTGAAGGAGACATATATATTTTCAGAATATATAATGTATTATTTTTTTTACTATAATGATGTTTTTTCTGCTTTTATTGTTCTTTGCCTACTAATAAACTGTAAAAATGAAAAAAATATATATGTTAGGATCCTTTCAGTAAAGCAGCTACTAGTTCTGACTCTATCAAACAAAGGAAAAAGTAAATGAAATTTATAATTATTATCTGAACAAATTTAAATCTACCAGACATGATAAATTACTGGTTATCTAAGTTATACATAGTACTTGTTATGTTCCTAAAGTAACAAAGTGACCTTCAAACTGAAAGGGATGCAGAAAAATAATTTAAAAGTGTATATTTTCAATTCTTCCTTCCTTTGAATTTTGCCCATGTGAAAACATGCCTCAGCTCTAGCTTCAAGCTGAGGAAGAGGGTTGGTTTTTCCTTTGGCTCTGTGCTTCCAGAGAACTCCAAGTGCTTTGACACCACCAAGTCCCCCAGTACCCTTTTCTCCTCTACAGCTCTGGAGATGAGATGTGGGACTTCCTTTGACATAGCTGAAATAGCCCCCAGCCAGTTGATCTAGAAAGCACAGCATGATCAGAACTCAGAGTAACTTGAAATTAACAAGTGGTTATGATGGCTTCTTTAGTGACAAGATACATTAAAGTAAACAGATGTATAATTTTTATACTGTTCAGCTACATTACATTGCTACCCAGAGGTCCTTTAAGTCAGTACACTTTCCCTTCGGCTTTCTTGGGATTGGCTGAGCTCCAGCAAGGTGAAACAGGTCTAATTGCATTCATGTCTTCCGTGCTTTGTTATAACTGACGATTTGACTTGGCATTTGTTGTGATTCATTCAACAGGGTGGCCTGAGTGCTCAAGCTTTCGTCCGCATAGAGATAGAAGACATTAACGACAATCACCCTGTCTTCGACCCAGCGACTTACACAACAAGCATCAGCAGTCATACGCAGCCAGGAACAGAAATAATCAATGTCGTTGCTACGGACAAGGATTCTGGAATATATGGAGTTGTGACTTACGAATTGCTGCCGGGCGACTTCTCTTCCCTGTTCACAGTGGATACATCTACAGGTATGATACAAGGTGCATGAGACCCACAATTTAAAATCATATTCTGCTGGTACAGATCAGGATAACTCCCAGAACACTGCGCAAAGGGAGGAGAGGGCTGATGGTTTTGCTGGGCAAGCTGAAATGGTCTCTGATGGGACCATATCACTACATGGAATTCCACGCTTAGTGTTCGTATCCAATGATGTCTTTGGAATATACACTTTTTGTGAGAACAACCTACTCCGCGCTACCCTCCCACTGAAGACAATGTCAGTATTTAACACTGCCTTAATTGACTATTTCAAATGACATAGAATGTATTTCAGTAGAATGCCTTTCATGAAGAGGAACCTAGACCGTGAAAACCTGGGCTTTAATAAATCTTGTTACAGTGCTTACTCTTCTGTTACTGCTGCTTTCTACAAGGCTTCCTTCCAGTTAAGTGTGCATAGGAGTGTGACTTTAGGCCTAAACCCAGCACAGAATTAGGTGTGCTTAATCTTGTCAGTTTCAGTGGGGTTAAGCAAGTTAAATTCTGTGTTGGATGAAGTCTGTCTTCAAGGTGCTGTCTCTCCTCACCCACCCAGCCCCCACCATGTCCTATTGAACATTGTTTCTTCATCAAGTGAAAAATCATGTTCTCCCTATGCATTTATGCAGCATATAAATGGATTTTCCCTGGGTTTTGTGAGGAGACAGTTGGTCTGCTGAAATCGTAACATATGCTAAAGATGAGCTTGTGAAAGTACACACAGAATATGAAGAGTGCAGCCATGAATATGGCAAAGATATTTTGAGTGATTCCTTTGTTTATCTTTGTAGCTAATCTTCTCCAGTAAAGCATGTAACTTGCTTGGAAATTCCTGCATGTGGGTCATGACTGCTTCCATGTAACATGCAGCTTGTTTCTTGTTCCAGCTTGGATTTCTGAAATCATTTCAGAAGAGCTTGCTTCAGGACAGGTTTGGGTGTTTAAAGTGGTAAAACATTCTGGATATAAGGTATTATTTGTGGCCCATCATGGTTTACCTCAGTCGTAGTGGCTGGTATCATTGGCTCTGCTTAGCAAAGCAAACATTTGGTGTAGAAGACCTGTTCTGTCACAGGTTTTGACAAATGCAGCAGTAAAATAACATTGGATTGTGTGTTTTCTTTTTTTAATCCCAATTTGACTGTGAATGTGATTTTGTCTTACTCTTTATTACAGGAAGAATTAATCTATTTTAATTTCTAAACTGCACATGGCATTTTTATATGGTGTGTAATAAAGCAAAATCAATGCACACATGAAAGGGTTGACATGAGTAAAGACAGATTGTGAGATTGAAATCGTTTATTTTGGAACATTCTGAAACCACATCCTTTTGAAGAAAGCCTTCCTTAGTTTTTTGTCCAATCTGCATAAGTAATTGATAGCACATTGAGACCACTGAAAGTAAATGGGAGTAGGTTAATGCGTTTGGCTTTGACCTTTTGAGAACTAGTTGTTCAGTAACGGAAATCCTATTCGTGGTCTGAACTTAGCCACTAATGGATTCATGCCTCTGTTAAAAAGCACCACAGAATTTAACCTAAGTAAGATTGAGTGGAACTTTCAGGTATGGAGAATACTGGGAACAATTAGGGTTTAAAATGGCTCAGGGGGGAATTTGCAGTAGAGGTTTCTGGAACTAATCCAAAGCACTTTTGTGTATGAGAGTTATTCACTGAGTACTGGCTAGAACCTGACCCAGTAACTGAGCACCTTGGAGGATGGGGACTTGTTCTGATGATCCAATAGCTCGCCTAACTGACTGAGCAAATCACAGCTCAAAACCCTTCAGAAAATGTGTACTGCTACCCTTCTTTCTGCTAGCTTAGGATTCCTCAAGAATGATTTTGCGCTCTCTCTCTCTCAGTCCTTTCTCTAAGCATGGAGCAAATTATGGGACACTGCATTTGTATCGCTCAACAACAACAACAACAACAACAACAACAACATTTTATTATTTGTACTCCATCCATCTGGCTGGGTTGGCCCAGCCACTCTGTGCAACTTCCAACATATATCAAAACATAATAAAACACTACACATGAAAACAAGGTTTGCATCATCCTTATGGCTTTAGTATCTGTGTGTTTCCTCCATTTTGCAGTTTTCCTGAATCCAAGCACAGTTATACTAATATTAAGTATGTTAATATCAAATGTTAAGCAGTAAGAACAAATGTCGGTAGTTTCCAGATTGGCATCTCCTTTTCAAAAACCAGACTTCCTGTATAAATAGATGCCTTTGATGGCTCTCTGGAAACTGCAGTTGCTTCAGAATACAGGTAGCCAAATGAGACTGGTGATTAGGAACACATCTCACCAATGTTCAAAGAATTTCACTGGAGAGTGGTTTTCTTCCAAACACAATTCAGAGTTTTGGTGCCTACCTTTAAAGCTTCACGTGACTCAGGGCTCAGTTACCTGAAGAGCAGCTGCTTCCACAACAGCCTACCTGTGCATTAGGATCACTGGTATATTCTTCAGAAGCTGTCTGGAGGGCTCCTTCTGTCTAAATTAAGTGGGTTATGATTGGAGGAGAGCCTTCTTGGTGGTGCCACCCTGTTTGTGGAATTCCTTCCCCAGGGAGGCTCTCTTCCTTTTGCCATCAGGTAAAACTTTTTTGATACTTTCGGCCTTTAAAAATGTGATTATTTTAATTGCTGTTTAAGTTTTCAGTATTTTGTTTTCTATCATTTAATTGTTATGCAGTCTGCCCTGGAATGACAGCATACATTGTTTTAAATAAATAAGTGAATACATAAAGTAGCCAGTTCAAGGAATGTTTCACATAGAGGCCAATGACTCCTGAGATAGGTGGAAGGAAAAGCATTTGACCTTTTGTATAGAAATTGCTGGGATTGATCAATACAGTGGTACCTTGAGTTACAAACGCCTCAGGTTACAAACTCTTCAGGTTTCAAACTCTGCTAACCTGGAAGAGTTACCTCGAGTTGAGAACTTTGCCCCAGGATGAGAACGGAAATCGTGTGCCGGTGGCCCATCGGCAGCAAGAGGCCCCATTAGAGAAAGTATGCCTCTAGTTAAGAACAGTTTCAGGTTAAGAATGGACCTCTAGAACGAATTAAGTTCGTAACTAGAGGTACCACTGTATATCAATTACTACAAATGTGTGAGATGATTTAATATTTTGATGTACATATTCCATTCCTTTATGATTAAATTTGGACATCATGCCAACCCATGATATGAGCTTCCAACTATAGAGGCTTAGTACCACTTGTCTACTTTGAATTTGTGTCTACACAGCACTCCAACCACTTGACTCAGTAGCCTACAGAGTTGGAACATTGTCTGTATATAGGAATAACAAAAGTGTTTTTGTTGAGTCAGGCTATTGGTCCATCTATCTAGCCCAGTATTGTCTAGTCAGGCAGCAGCTCCTCAGCGTCTCAGAGACATTTCCCATCACTTGTTACCTGCGCCTTTTAGTAGGAATGCCAGGGATTGAACCCAGTACATTTGGTGTACAGTGGTACCTTGGGTTACAGACTCTTCAGGTTACAGACGCTTAAGGTTACAGATTCCACTAACCCAGAAATAGTACCTCGAGTTAAGAACTTTGCTTTAGGATGAGAACAGAAATTGTGCAGCAGTGGTGCTGTGGTAGCAGCGGGAGGCCCCATTAGCTAAAGTGGTACCTCAGGTTAAGAACGGTTTCAGTTTAAGAACGGACCTCCAGAACAAATTAAGTTCTTAACCCAAGGTACCACTATACAAAGCATCTACATGATCGCTTATCTGTGGATCCCCTTGGTCTGCCAGTTCAGACATCAGTCAAACTATAGTTAACACAAACCATAATTTACCAACTGAGAACTCCTATTTATGGTGTGCAAACCAATATGCTAATAGGTAGATGAGCTTCCTTAACCATGAGTTTGGCTTGTTGTCTGAACGGAACTATCTTACTGGGTTGTGTCTGCCATAAGAAAGAGAGGTAAAGCAGGATTTTCGTAACATTCAAGAACACAAAAAGCTTCTGTTCTGTATTCTTTGTCCAGCCTTTTTCTGTGTGTTGCTGTGGTTACCATCAGGAAAAGCGGCCTTAGTCAATCCAGTGCATAAGGTCGTAAAGGTAACAGGCAGCAAAAATCCAGTAAACCAAGATAAGCTGCCCTTCCGGTGATGTACAACATAAAATATACAATCAGTAATTAAAGTATTAATAAATTGCAACGCTAAAAAACAGTACAGCAAAGCAGCATAATAACAGAACTGGATTAAAGGCTTTGTGCATCGCTGACTCATGTTTCTCAAGAGACTGAAGTTTTTGTACTTAATTCTTAGTTCATAGATCAGACAAATAGGCAGGTTGGAGAAAAATTCATTCTGAATAGGTCACTGGAAATGAGCATTGACCTGCCTGAGTGTTAAGTTGCTTCAGCTGCCAGATTTGAAGGTGAGTTTGGGTGACGAACTGTGCATACCTTTTTAGCCATCTGCCTGCTGTCTGAGTTGGCTGTCAAATCGTATTAGTTGGAAGCCATCTGGGTATAGTTAATCTATATTTTTCCTCTTAATAGCTTATTTTTTCAAAAACACACACACAACCCCCCCCAACAACAACACTCTCAGTGCAGGTTTGCTCTACTGCAGGTGATTACTACTTGAAAGAGCCTAGAAATCTGAAAAATTATACCTTTAAATGGTTAGAAGTAAACCAGTCCATTTGAATGATCTACTTCATTCTACCTGCTGCTGTTGACTACTAACAAATGCATACTTCACACATGCTTTAGTTACCTGTAGTTAAAGAGCTGTGTATCAGAAATGTTAAATAAATTGCCAGAACAAGCAAGTCAACCAATTAGAAGCTGCAGGCAGATGGCCACTGTTTTGCACCATGCAGCTGATTGAAAGCAAATCCCGAATGCCCAGAATGCAATGCTACATGATGCAGGGTGGTGGGCAGAGCAGGCACAGATGAATTTGAGGTTTGCAGTAAGTTTGGTTTCCAGCCAGCCACAGGGCTGCTGGCCAGAGGATGCTGTAAATTAGTTTCTTCTGGAACAGCAAGAATGGTAAAAATGAATCAAAGTTCTACACAAGGGGTGGGGATCTGGTGGGTGGGCTGGATCGCTAATCTGCCTTCCCTGTGAGCCAGCTGAGAGTCTCACCCACCAGTCAAGCACCTGAAGAATCTTCCCCAGTTATGGCTTGGGTGTACCTCATAGTTTATTCTTGGTTTCTGTACCAGGAAGGAACTGATGAGTTGCCTGCTCAGAACTAAGGTGATCTGTGCCCTTCATTGTATTAATTGCTGGTGGCAAAGTAGAAGCCATCTGTCAGCTTGCCTCATGCTGGGAAATGTGGGCTGTGGTTTCTGCATTTACTCAAAGGTCAGGTTACCAGTACTTAACTTAGTATAGCAATCAGCATGTTACTTACCTGGAGGTAAGCGGATTTGTATCCAGGTAAATGCAAGCCTATGCCTAACAAAGGCTACAGGTAATTCCGTTGATTCGCTCTAATCCACCCTACAGTTTGAACCAGAAAGAAGCACACCGGGGGCTGTGCATGTACCATAGGGTAAAATCTCATTTTCTGTGCAGCAGATGCTGCAAAAATAATAATATATGCACTGATAGTAATCCTATTATTAGTATAGGGTTTCTCTGATTACTTGCAGCTGAATATGAAATATAAGTTTCCCATTCTGAGTGAAAGATCTATGTAGATCTTGTTTAACAGATCTAATTCCTTCAATATTATACGCTCAAGAAAACCCCTCACCTTCAAACATCCTCATGAACAAGACAGATGTGCTCAGTAGCACCAATGTGCAAATGGAGCTATTTATATGCCACAGCTTTCTCCTTACCTTCAGAATGGAAGTTGTTCTGCTGCTGAAGTGAATGTGGAAGTCTCAGTAGAGCAGGGTGTGCCACGCTTTGGTTCATGGGCCACCAGTGGTCTGTGAGCTTCATTGAGGTGGTTCACTGTCTGTGGATTTGTAGTTGAAGATGGGAGACAGCACATCCATTGCATTCAATAGACTGATTTTAGTTGCTCATATTATCTATTTTATTGTATTGCTGTTTGAATTCCATGGAGTACAATGAAATGCAATATATAAGAAATAAAAGAAGCAATACAAATACAATAAAAAAACCATACAGCATCTGACGCAGCGCGTTACTATTGTTGCTGCAACAGGCAGAAAAATAGTTAAGTGCTCCACCAAGATGCTCAGCAATTTTCAAGTGGTCGATGGGGTGGGGAGAGGGGAACCTTAGGAACCAGGGCAGCGGAAGATCTCTGAGATTCCCTTATAAAATGAGTGGCAGAAGCAGCAAAGGCTGTAGGTGTTGAGGTCACATCTTGGCAGGAGCAAGAGAGCCATTGGGCACACCTGCGCCTTAGCTGACATGCCTCTTCCATGGTTTAATAGACTAGATGCAGAATGACACAAATTCACTAGCAGTATGTGTACTGTAGTGTCCACTACAGCTTTGGATGGTGCACTAGGTGAAAGAATCAATTGCAGCCAAACTGGGTAGTATTACCTACTGGTTGGGGGTGGGATGTTATCTTCAAAGTGCAAAGTCCCTCTTCAGATTACCTTCCCTTTGTTGCACATGCCGCCCAGGGGTTTTTCTGCTACTCTCCAAGGCATGGAAAAGCAAAGGTAGCTGTGTTTTTACTCCATCTCTGCTGAATTACTGCAGTGTTTTTTCACGCTGGGTAAACAATATTTGCTGTTTTCTGTGTTTGCTATAACACACACACACACACACACACACACACTCTTAAAGTGATCAAGAGGCAGTTTGTTTTTGTAGTGGTCTGGCAGTGTAAAATGGAAATTTTGTGAACTGCACCTATTGGTTGTCTGTAAGTATTTATCTGCTTCATCTGTTTTCCATTCTCCTCCTTAGCGCTTTATCCCAAATTAGTCATTCAGCTGATTAAACAATTCTACATTGTTAAGTCAGATCTTGTTATTCACCATTCTTCCTACTCCTGTCTGAAATGCTGGAATTGCTGTCAGTCAGTATAGAAAATACTGATGGTCTGACTGCATGAGGCATATGAAGTGGTCTTGATCTCCAGCGTGTACATATAGGGTGGCCTCCTCCTCCTCCTCCTCCTCCTCCTCCTCCTCCTCCTCCTCTTCATTACACCTGATCCTTCATGGAATTTCCATGCCTTCTGTGCTTTGCTATTGGAGAGAAGCACTTGTGAGCATCTTTCCTCCTTGAGTTGCACTAAACTTTAATAAATGAAGTCATTGGTCCTGTGCCTCAGTCTATAACAGATGAGAATTAAAGGTAATAGGTTGGTTCCAGAAGTGCCCTTTCAGATGTTGAAGGCATCTCCCACTCATGGATGGGCTGCTTGCGCAAGTAGAGCCTAGCTGAAATATGTTCTTCCACTTACACATTCCCTTGCACAGACAGAAGTGTGAAAACTTGCCTATTCTAGCACAGGGTGAACTCTTAGGCAAGTGTTAGCAGAACAGCCCTAACGCGGTATCTTCTGCAATAATGCTCAAAACAGAAGAAATAGCGTATTAGTTTGAACCGCATTAAGTGAAAAACACGCGCAAGAGCGTTTGGCTAGAAAACACACCACCTAGAATCAAGCATATGTGTATGATTATGTTTTAAACAAAAATGAGACAGATATTGGATATCCTGAAGAAAAAGTAAAGTGCTTTTTATATGCTTGTGGTCTTAAGTACATAGGAAGAGCCCGCTGGATTGGGCCAATGGCCCATCTAGTCCAACATCCTGTTCTCATAGTGGCCAATCAGATGCCTGTGGGAAACCCGCAAACAGGATTCAAGCACAAGAACACTCTGCCTTCCTGTGGTTTCCACCAACTTGGCATTCACTACCCCCCGCCCGGAGTTTATTCCGTTTGGTATCTTTGTGAATGGTATGATACTGAAGTGCAGTCGATAGTCCTGATTATGAAAATGGGTGAAATCTAGGTTTTTAGTAACAACTTTATCCCTTAATGGACTGTAACGAAACAAACAAACTTGGATTCTCTAAAATTAATTCGTGTTTTTTTCCATCTGAGGGAATGCATGGAATGAGGGTCATTCATGTGACCCTGTGGATGGATAGAGTAAAAGGTAAAAAGGACCCCTGGACAGTTAAGTCCAGTCAAAGGCAACTATGGGGTTGCGGGGCTCATCTTGCTTTCAGGTCAAGGGAGCCGGCGTTTGTCCATAGATAGCTTTCCGGGTCATGTGGCCAGCATGACTAAACCACTTCTGGTGCAACAGAACACCATGACAGAATAAAAAAGTAATAAAAAGCGGTACCTGTATCTACTTGCACTGGCATGCTTTCCAACCGCTGGGTTGGCAGGAGCTGGGACAGAGCAATGGGAGCTCACCCCGTTGCGGGGATTCGAACCGCCAACCTTCTGATCAGCAAGCCCAAGAGGCTTAGTGGTTTAGACTACAGCGCCACCCTTGTCCCATGGATAGGGTATTGGGAAATGGAGGAACTGGATTTAAATCACTTCTCACATCTCCAAAATGGAAATAATGGTTTGCCCTTCCAAAGAAGCTATAGACTGCATTGCAGATTATTTTATGGTTAGGAGGCTTGGAAGAATCAGGACAATAGTTAAAGACATGAGCAAGTAGGCAGAGCTAGATTTGATTGCCTTCTTCTAGGCCAGGATGGAGAACCATTTTCAGTGGGTTGGGCAAGAGGCAAAAGTGTGCAGAGCAGTGAATGTAAAATTTGCTCTTGCACCGTAGGCTTGTTTCTGCATTCAAACACCCCACTCTATCCTGATGCTTGAACTCAGGAACCATAATGCCAAATTTGGCCATGCTATCCCAAGAGGTGTCCAAATCCACAGCAAACAGAAACCGTGTTCTAAAATATATAAACGATAATAGGTGAACTTTCATTTTTTCTACTCTTGCAGTGGTGCTCTTGACACATTTTTTTTTTAAGTACACATCAATTCTGTGGCTAACACTTCTGAACTTCAGAAATGACAGGGAGAAATAATTTTCTTGTCCCATTTGTTCACCTTTTCTTCTCCTTTACAGGAATTGTCTACCTGATAGCATCTCTCAGTAACGTGGAACATACCAGTGTGCTGTTGGCTGTTTCTGCCCGGGATGGAGGTGGCCTTGGTTCCACTGTTAATGCAGTTGTGACTGTGAAGATCCTGCAGACAGCTGTGGCTCCTGCTGTTTTTGAGAGATCACGTTACACTTTTTCCATCCCTGAAGATGCACCTGAAGGAAGTGCTGTCGGAACGGTGAAAGCAAGGGAGCCCTTGAGTAAGTGGCCTTGGAAAACATTCAGACAGATTCCAGTGCCCCCTGATTTGTTACAGGCTACAAACATATGCAGCCAGTATTGTGTTAAATGTTATTTTTATTCTTTCAGTGGAGAAAAGCACACAACTAAATGTGAAACTAGGTTTTGAATTACAGTCATACCTCTTGTTACGTTTGGTTCAGGTTACATTCTTTCAGGATACATCCTGCGGCGACCCAGAAGTAACGGAACGGGTTACTTTCGGGTTTCGCCGCATGTGCAGATGCTCAAAATGACATCACGCGCATGCGCAGAAGTGGCGAATTGCGACCCGCAGATGCGGGTTGCGTTCTCCTCATTTTGCGAATGAAGATCTGGAACAGATCCCGTTCACAACCAGAGGTACCACTGTAGTGTAATAGTAAGAAACTAGTGCATTTTCCCACATTTGAGTGTTTCCTTGTGGTTTCTTGGGAGACAATATTAAAAGAGATATAAACAAACATGTATGCATGCATACATACATACATACAGTATGTTTAAAAAATAAGTACTTCCATTATAACAGTTAAACTTTACAAGGTACCCTGGGCTCATGTATTGTTTCCTCACTTGCACGCATCGAGAGTCATGCAGCCATATCAAGGTAGGATATTGCTAGGTGGAGATGGGGAGGCTCGCAGGCCCCCTTCCTCCATGCTTCCTAATGTGCTGTCATGCTGTATGTGTGCATGGTTTAGGAGGGGAGGGAAGGAGGCTTTATTGGACTCCTCAGTGTGTGAGCTCTGTAACTAGCATGCAAATGGATTGTGCCCTATGTGTGTATTCCTAAATGGACTAGGAAAAATTGTGGTAGTGAAAGATGAGTACTATTTATACGTAGGCAAAGTTGCTTGAAACAATTAGTGTTCAAATACTAGCAGGGCTTGCTGATCAGAAGGTCGGCGGTTCGAATCCCTGCGACGGGATGAGCTCCCGTTGCTCAGTCCCTGCTCCTGCCAACCTAGCAGTTTGAAAGTGCAAGTAGATAAATAGGTACCACTCCGGCGGCGTTTCCGTGCACTGCTCTGGTTCGCCAGAAGTGGCTTAGTCATGCTGGCCACATGACCCGGAAGCTGTACGCTGCCTCCCTCGGCCAATAAAGCGAGATGAGTGCCGCAACCCCAGAATTGTTCGCGACTAGACCTAACGGTCAGGGGTCCCTTTATCTTTTATGGCATATATGAAAATTGGGGGAAATGAGTCTGAATGTTTAAAGGAATTTCTGTCACACAATAAACCATCATGAAGCAAGGCTGTTTTCAAACAAAACACCAAACTATAGTTTAAAAATTACATGGTTCATAAGCCAAAAAACAAACCGTGGGTTTGTGCTATCGTTTAATGCCAGAAAACAAACCATGGTTAGTCTGCTGGGCTGGGTTAGCACTTTCAGACAAACCTGGATCAGCCTCCCCAACCTAGAACCTTCCAGATGCTTTGAACTATAACTACTATCATCGCAGGCCAGCATGACTAGTGGTCAGGGTTGATGGGAGTTGTGGTCTAAAACACCAGGTTGGCAAAGACTGAGCTGCTAAACAGCGGCTTAGTGTTATGTTCAAACAAACCTGTTAAAACTGAATTGAATAGGTGAGCTGAAATGGCAGCTTTTAGCAATAAATTTGTGGGTATTTAAGGTGCCATGGGACTCTTGTTCTTTTTTAAGCAGCTTGAACACTATATGTATTGAGAAGCACAGTGAGAGACTAAAGATGCATCTGTGGCTTCACATATTCTGCCATTCTCCTCTACATAAGCAAATGCTTTAATTACTTAATACATTGCAACCCTTACAGGATGTGGCCTGGCAGTGGCCTAGGATGGTTTGATACTGACTCTCCATGGTTTCCTGGGAAAAGTCAGTTTCCCTAGGCTTTGAGAGCCTCTCCTTCCCCCACTCTGTGCGTGCTCTCTATATGTTACAGCTTCCTGGTTTGTGCAGTGGTTTGAGGTTTTGACCCTTAGTTCTCACAAAAGTTATACTAGAATCTTAAAATTAGGCTATACTGGAATGTTTATGTGTCTGCTTAGAGTGGAATTCCTCTGTTCAACCTGACCTAGTTGGAAAGAGTTCCTGTATAATTTTAAATGTGAGAAATGATATTTATTTCTTCATAAAATTTAATCACACCTATGGGGTGAAAATACAGATCTCGTAAATGGGCTAACTGCGTGCCTTTAAGTTAGTCTGCACAGCATCCATTTTTTCCTACTACACCCTAGAGATTACAGCAAAAAAGAAAGAAATAAAACGCAAAAAACTTAGGAAACAAACATCCAGAGAGGCGTTTAAACTGTTCAACTCACTTAATGCTGCTGTGCCATACATTTCTCAAATGCTCTAGAGCATATTCAGCTAAGTGGATCTTCTAACAAATTGGATGCCTCTTCTTTGACACGGGCGTGTGTTTTGTTTTTAATCTTCTTTACAGATTTATTGGAAACGGTTTCCTACAGAATTTCCTCTGGTGATCCCTACGGAAGGTTTTCCATTGACCCGCAGTATGGAATCATCCGCACTAAGAAGCAGCTTGACCATGAAGCCCATTATCACACCCTTCTCACAGTGCAGTCCCAGTTGGGAAGCTCCCCTGTCTACAGCAGCGCCCAGGTCAACATAACCGTGATTGACGTCAATGACAACCCTCCAGTGTTTGTGTCGGAATCTGACCAGATTAATATATCGCGAAGCACGGTGCCTGGCGCAGCTCTTTACATCGCTCATGCAGAAGACAAAGACAGTGGGCTAAATGGTGCGGTCCGGTATGCCATTGTAAGCAACGGGTCAAGTATTTTTACCATTGATCCCGTTCTCGGGGTACTGTACCTTGCCAGAACTCTGGATAGTGATAGGCAGCATGAACACACGGTGGTGCACATTACAGCAGAAGATCATGGAAGTCCTCCCTTGAGTTCTCTGTTGATCCTACGAGTGGTGATCGACGAGCATAAGGGACGCCCCATGCTGACTTTTGAAAATTTGGTGTATCAGGTGGAAGTTAGTGAAGCAGCACCCATAGGTGTCAAAATTCTGCAAATCCAAGCCCGGAAGTTAGATCCCCAGCGTACCCCTGGGAATGTTGTGTACTCCTTGGAGCATAACACGGATTCTGCTTCATTTAGAATTGATCCAGAAGCAGGTGTGATCTACCTACGGAATCCTTTAGATTACGAACTTACACAAATGCATAGTTTTAGAGCCTTTGTCTCTAGCACAGCAGATAAGTCAGGGCAGAATGCAAGTACATCAGTGATAGTTAACGTAATGGATGAAAATGACAATTCTCCCATGTTTTTGCGTGATGCCTATTTTTTTGACGTGGAGGAGAGTTCGTTAGCCCAAGGTGTGGTTGGCACAATAGCCGCAGTTGACAAGGACTCTGGAAGAAATGCGCAGCTCTCCTATTTCCTCTTATCAGACGGAAAATATTTTAAAATCAATTCCAATACAGGTAATATGTTTTAATAATCTTCCCTGTTCTCCTTGCGGCATGTTAAGCTTTCTGCTAAACTAGAGTGCTTGTCGTGTGTGTGTTGTGTGTATGAATATAATTTGCATGTCCAAATTCAGGGTGAAAACAGTGGGATGTAACAGGCAGACAAAAGAGAGAACAACTGAATTCTCTCCACTGGTGGATCTAGCTTCTGCATGCACTCAAAACTCATGATAGGCTTTGCAAAGTGAATTGTCAGTATATTAAAAAGTCAGATATGTAAATAATATTACCCGCAGGTCACATAATCGTCTTTCTTTCTTTCTTTCTTTCTTTCTTTCTTTCTTTCTTTCTTTCTTTCTTTTACCTTCAAGCTATTATTGAGCAGTGATCAGCAGCTCAAAGGAACGAGCATGGTACTGCTGATGCCATCACAAGTATCTGTGAAAACTGCTAGCAAAGATGGTTACATATCACTGTCAGGGACAACACTCAAACCCCTGCAAAAGTGCAAAGTTGGATGGCAAGCAGTTCCACCATTCCACACATACATTACATATTGTCTGAGCAGATGACTTCCAGGACAGATGCTGGTCAGACTTACCAGTCTGATATCTCCATTCTTTTTTCATGCCCATCTCTGAATCTTAAAACATTTTCTTAAAACATTTGCAATCTTCCATTTGTATCTTCCCAGGCCTGCCCTGGGACCTGCCTACGTCTTTCTCTTCCTAATACTATCCCATCCTTACCATACCTGACATCTCTTCTCCTTTAACTGATCCACTGGCCTTCAGTTTGTTGTGTTGCTATCAGCTGACTTTCCATTGTTCTTCCTGGTGAAGGATCTACCCTGATCTCAATTTATACCTACTGCTTGCTCCCTTCCACTGTACTATATCCGTAGCTGGAACTCTTGCGGCTTTGGACACGATTCAAGGACATTGGTGTGAAAATGTCTAATAATTTTGTATCACAACTCGTATGTGAAATGTAGGATTAGCATTTGAGGAGGTGAAGGTCGCTGGATGATTCGAATGCCAAAACCCAGGATACACAAAGACAGGTATTTTAACAAGATAAAATGAAACGTTGAAAATCAATCAGAAGGGATTGTGTAATAAAAAGTCAGGCACGAGTGACAGAGCTAGCTGGCGGGAGAGGCCTTGTACTACACAGATGTGGAATCTGAGACTACTCTCCACTGCTTGCCGTCTGGAAAACGAGGAAAGCAGAATGGCTAATATAGCTGGGTTTAGAGAGATAGTGTGGAGATCAAAGAACTATAGCACAGTTCCATAGGAATGGATTTCTTACGAAGCACCCAAAATCCTGCGATAAAGAAGGCCAGCTGGTCGTGGTAAGGGGCTGCAAGGCTGCAGAATATCCTCAGCCCCTACAGCAAAGTGAAGAAAATGCTTGCTGGTCCCCCCAAAGGGTCTGTGATGAGAAGTCTCTGGTATATGATGTCTCGTCCAGCTGGCTAACAACTAAAATAATTTTCGCTCTTTTCTGCTGGCTGGAAGAAGGAAATATTTTGGCTTCTTTAGAGCAGCCATCTGGCTTTAAAGTTAGCTGTTTCTGTGTGAAGTGGAGTCACTTGGAGTCCAGCGAAGTTATAATGACCCCAGGGTACACAAATATATGCTGAGTGACAGGATCTCTCTTGGCTTTCTGTAGTATGCAGTGTGCATATCAAGTGACTGACGTGGTTAAGGCAGAGTGTGCTATAAAGCGTGCGCAGCTTGTTAAAACCTGTTATATGCAGCCCATAATGCTCTTTTTTTATCACTGTTTCCCCCAACCCCCCACCAGGTGAAATTATAAACTGGGTTGCATTAGACTATGAACAGCAAGCTCACCACTACCTGATCGCTCTGGTGACTGACCACGGGGTCCCGCAACATAATGCCACAATAACAGTCTATATCTCTGTTACCGATCTCAATGACAACCACCCATGCTTCCCGCAGCTTCTGTCTGGAGCAGACCTACATGTCAAGGTTTGAACAGATTGAAATCCCTTTCTTTCTTATCCACGTGTAACTTAAAGAAGCACCTTTGTGTCGCGTATGAATGCTATTAATGTGTGACAGAATTTGAAAGAGTTGTTTTTAAATGAAACGCATGTTCCAACCAGTGTAGGTGTTAAATTTGCGTTTTACAGACCGTTGTAAGCAAAAAGGCCTTTTAAACCTCATAGTGTCTTACTGCAGCACACAATAATTTTTTAAAAATTTGTTTTGAGCACCATCTTGTGGTTAGAATATGGGGAAACGGCTGAAAAGCACAGTTGGCACATAATCAGGGTAAGCATGATTCTAATATATCAAACTACTGAGATAAAATCTGTTTAAACTTAATTTTCAGTTTACTGTAGCCTACATTTGCTGCACATGCTACTAGCCCATAGACATGTTGGTTATATGCAGCTGCTTATCCCACACAATGGGAATGCTTGATCAGGGTCTGTGGGACCCAGACTACTTAATTTACTTTTCACATTTTTATCAATTAGTTCTTCACATTGCCTAACGTAATGCAACTTCTGCATGACTTGGAATTTTGAACTGCCCAAATGTTCTTTTTGAACTGCCCATTCCCCCACCCTCTAAAAGCCCATTTTTTGGGTCCGGATGCCCATTAAAAAGCCTTTCCTTTTGCACTCTGCCAGTCCTTCTTAGCGCTTTAGTTTTGAACCTTTCTTTAATGTATATTAATTTAGTTGGTCTTTCTTCTGTGGAAAGTCTAATTTTAATCAATCTGCTTGCTATTAGGTTTTGGAAGGGCAACCAGCAGGAACGCTGGTTGCCACCATGTTTGCCAAGGACCTTGATTCTGGGAACAGTGGGATCGTGTTATATTCATTGTCCTCAGGTAAAAAAATCCTTACTTCTCAAGTACAGATAAGAAAGTGCACGATATCCAGATACATTGGGCAAAGTTGTAAGCATACAACATAAACTGAGGGCAAAGATCTGTTCTTGGCTGCTCTTGGAAACTTCTCTTTTCTGAATCAAACACTGATTCAAGTTTATTAAGTGGAATTCCCACGTCTCTCCATCACATGTGGCATGCTGCCTGTTTATTATGAGGTATATTCAGTTTTAAATGTGAGAGTTGTAAAAATGTCCGATTTTCAAACTTATTATTATTGACATGTCTCTCTTCATGCATTCATGATCTTTGTAATATCGGGAGTAGCTCTCTTTACCTTTTTATCCTTCCACGCTTGTTTTTGTTGCGTTTAGCATTCTTAATCGAAAGCTCTGACTTAGCACACCCAGGATTAAGTTGGTAATACTAAGTAAAATATGTTCAGTATAGTTTAGGATTTCATCTGTTATAGGCAGATGCTTTCACCGTCCCAGTGGGAAAATGACCTTTCCTTTCCCATGACTAACTGGAAATCTTCTTCCTATAGGAATTGACCATGACAGTCTGGGACAGGGATCAAAAGATAATGGGAGCAAACAATGGGGGCTTGTGTAGATCCTATTTCATCCTTTGTTGGGTCGAATGTTTGCTGGAGAGAATTCTGCAGCAAAACTGTATTTGCAGTCATGTCCTGCTCATTGGCTTCCCACAGTCTTCTGGTTGGTCACTTTGAGAACAGGACACTGGACTCTGAAAGCAGTATGCTGGTCTAATCCTGAAGTGTTCTTATCTTTCCTTTTACTAGGTCCTAGTTTTGGCTTATTTATAAAAAAAAATTAAAAATTGCAGGTCTAAAATGACCCTCTCTAGTGCTAACGTTCTGTGATCATGCACTGCACATTTATTCTGGAGTCATTGAACAGAAAACAGTGACAGAGCCTCCAGCTTTTTACAGTCCTTATTAAAAAGAGCAAAAGGAGGAAGTTTAAAAAAAAAAAGTCCCATGGAAACCTAACAGACCAATATTTTATTGCTGTCTTATGAGTTAGGCTATAGCCTATTAAAATTCATGCCTAGATACCAGTGTTCGAAACTCTCATTGTTCTAGGTGCATTTTGCAGCAGGGAATTTCATTAGTGTGAGCAGTTTCTGAGCTCTGAGTACACTAGTACGCCTAAGATTTTGGATTAAAACTGCAGAGTGGAAGGAAAGGAGGAGCTTTTTCTGCCTCTCCACTTCCAGCTACTCTCTGAAGACTGGAGAAGAGACACTCTGAAGAATATTAGGGGGATGGGCAGCGAAAGGACCAGACCATGTGAAAAATGAACATAACATTTTAGCTGCAGTTCATTCATTTTCAGCTTTGTATTCTTGCTATAAAAAAGTTTGCCTAGACATTCTGTTGTTGTGCCCATAACTTAGGTTTGAGGTGCCATTTAGCTCCTAGCTTTCATATCTCAGTTTCTAATACTGCTTGATACATTAATAGTAGTCTTTGAAACATGACTATTCACTTTTGCAACATAAAACAAATGGCCGAGCTTCATTTTTGAAACAACCATTTTTACACTATTCACATTCAAATATCATTGTTATTTATCCTTAAATGTTGGGTTTTTCTTCTTAGCAAAGTTGTGATTATTAGCCCATTTGAATCGAGAATAACTCGTGTCACTAAATTTAAAACTGGTAGAGAATAATGCAATCTTAATACAGATGAATTTTACATTTCTCAACTGCTATGCTTCAACATAGCTCCAATTTGCATCCCAGAGTCAGCTTATACTTGTCATAATTATTTGTTGGTGAATGAACTCAAACTAAAGTACCATGAAGACCAAATTACCTCTTTTCCTTAACAGAGAAAGAACAGTTACTACTTCCTAAAGTCCTCCCAGGAAGACTTGTAGCCTAACATACTTTCACATACTGCATGTGATATCTTGGGGGAAAGCAAGAAATCCAGACTTCACTAACCCCACAATGACTAGCTCATTCATTCCTAATTGTGAGAAACTGGATACGTGAAACCTGTTTTCTGGGCCTCTCCATGGAAGTAAACCATGGAAGTTGGAGACTGCCTTCCTGAACCACTAGGGTTAGGGTATGCTATAAAATAGAGACTACAGCTGGTGCAGAGCGTTATTGTTTGGCTCCTGAGGGAATGGGCTGTCAGATCCTGGTGCTGCTTCTTCCTGTTTTTATTCTTGGGTGCAGGCGTCAAGAAATCCCTCTGGCCCTTAGGTTAAAAAAGGGAGAAATATCCATTGTTCTTCATGATAAACTTAACTCACTGACAATTACCATTCACTTTTCCTTCTGATTTGGACTCTGGGTTAGGCAAGTAAAATGGTTTTGACTTAGACATGTGTTGCAGAGTCCTTGGGCAGTAGGATGTTATTATAATCATTATTTATTAAATTTGTATACCAGCCTTCATCCATAGATCTCAGGGTGGTTCACAGCATTAAAATTTCAAGATAAAAAACACAAAATACATAATTAAAACAAAAACAAATACCTCCCCCCCCCACTCTCACAACACATTTAAAAGAGTATCAGGTGTTAATCAGCCAAAAGGTTGGCTGAAGAGGAACGTTTTTGCCTAGAACGTAAAAGGTTTATAATGAAGGCCTCCCTCAGACATCCTGTCTGCTCTTAAGGCCATGTCCCTTAATATTTGGTAAGGCCAACAAAGCTGTTACCTCATCCTCTGTGTTTCCAGAGGGCCTAAAATCCATATGGATGCTACACAAGTATTTTGGAGTGGCTCTTACAGTGCCTTTGCAGGGACAAATGCAAGCACACCTTGTTGCAGCTGCTCTGGATTATTTCTATGTGTGTTCTACAGCTGTGATCCTTGCGTCTTGTCCATTGAACTGTGCATGTACTTGCTATTAGGACAAGAGACAGAAGTACTGTACATCCATAAGGTGCTTGGGGGAAAGTTCAGTTCACTCTAGCTTTTGCAGCCAGTGACTTTCAGAACATGCTGCACTGGTTTACTGGTTCCCATCTCTTGTTTAGTGGAGGTTTTCTGACAAGAATTGTTCCTTTGCAGACTGAAGAAAAGTTGTAGGTGTCAGTTGATGCCGATAGCCTAAACTCAGCATTTAGCAGGAGATAATTTATGAAAATATTTAATAGTGCAGAATCAATATTTGGGAATTGTTGTAAAATGTAGTCAAGTGCAGAGTGGTTGCATTAAATTATATTTTATCCCCATTGTCAGGTTTTTTTGTTCTGCTCTGGTTACCACTTGAAATAATTCCAAAGCAACAGAAACTATTTTAATGTAGTTTCTGTGCCAATTTTTCACCAAAATTGTTTCTCATCTTGTTTTATGGTCCGTAAGTATACACATGGGCATTTATATTGATAGTTATGCAGTGTAACCAATCTGTTCTATCTTCAGTATACACCCAATGTTTATTGAAGTCATCTGTTGCAGTCACTCAGGATTGTATTAGACAAAGTAGTTCTGTGATAGAAGTTCTCCCGCTACTTTTCTCCCCCTCCCCAGATCTGCTCTGGCTCAGGGAACCCCCATAACATGTCTAGGGGATGCATATGGAGGGGAATATGAGGGGCAGTTCCACTGTGCAGCCAGAAATCGAAATAATGGGACTACTTTGTTGATACCACCTCAGGACTTAAGTTTGTTCTGTGATGTGCTGTTTCTATAGCACTTCTTAATGTGCAAGTATATTAATAGTGATGTATCTTTTTCAGGAGAAAGTTTAGGCCATTTCCAGATTGACAGCAGCAGTGGTGAGTTAAGGACCACTGAAGCTCTTTTGTACAATTGGCGTTCAAGCTACCAAATGGCAATCACTGCAGCTGATCAGGGAGTCCCTCCTCTTCAAGGACAAGTAGTCATCACTGTGGAGGTATTGATTTGAAACAGACATTGTTTTCTTGAAGTATCTGGAGCACAAACCAGTTAGAACATGCCTGGAGCACCCTCTCCCCCACAATCCATATATTTCTCTGCTGAGACAATACTGGAAAGGGAAAATGTTTTACTCAATTTTAAATATAGGAACTGCAAATTTTGTTCCAAACATTTCTGCCTCATTAAGGGGAAGCCATCAGCAAGAGTGAGAAAGGCAATACACTTTTTAAAAAAGAGAAATTAGTGGGAAACATGCAAACACTCTGAAACACACACACACACACACACACACACACAAATGTGTGTGTGTGTCTTGGTTGCAAACTAAGTTAGTTGCACTTGGGTCCCATTGAAAGCAATGTGAAATAAATTTCATTGTAATCAATTACAGCTTGTGATCAGTGGGACCTAATTATGAATAATTTAGACAGGATCCAACTCTCTGACTTTATCAGATTGTTCCTTTGCCTGACACTGTTGGCCTGATCAGAGACTTTTAAAAGATAACTTACTGTCCTCTGAACCAAACCCTGGGAACCTCCTGAGATTGCTTTTCTGAATACACTCACTTATCATCACTGTTGTTGGTTTGTGCCATTATGACCAAACAAAAGTGACAAATTGGAATTGTGCAAATGCAGGCAGTGTTGAGCATGATTTAACCTGGTGCATTTCAAACCACAGTTGCTATTCTGTCAGGGGATATACTTACTGATTAGCTTCAGTAAAGGAGACTTGCTGGCCCCTGTGTAGAAAGACCATACCTTACAAAGTTTGAATAAATACCTTTAAGTTTTTTAGTAGGAGCACTGTAACACACACACACACACACACACACACACACACACACACACTCACACACACTCACTCACTGTGTTGAGATAACATTTGTGGTTTGCACAGTGAGTACTGTGCAAGTTATGCACAAGATTGCATAGTATTAAGGAGATTTTTTTTTAAATGATATTTATTGAGAATGTTAAGGTTACCAAGAAAAAAGAAGGAAAAAACGAGAAAAAGAGAAAAAAAAAGAAAAAAAATAGATAAAAGTAACAATTAATCAATACAAATCAGTATAAACCAAAGTCAAAAAGCAAAAGCAAAACACACAATACATCAAAATCAAAAAGCAAAAATAAACAAAAAATTTAAAAACAAATCCAATATTCCCAGATCCTTAACTGTCATTAACTTATTTCATCGACCTCGTCACACCTCCCTTTTTTGTATTCTAGTTGTTAATTATCTCAGCAAATCCTTTCCATCTTTCACAATATTCTGTCATTAAATTACCTTAATCTATTTTAACCTTATCTTACCATAAAAACCCTAAAACTTAAAACTTAAATCTTATTTATACCAAATTCTCTTAACCGTAACATATTCTTACATAATTCTTTTAACATTTCTGCTAAAGCCAAATAATTTCATTCCAACATTTTTCTAATACTCATTAATTTTATGATACTTTTCTAAATAAATTTTTAAAACTTTCTTCCAATCTTCATCCATCGTCTCTTCTTCCTGGTCTCGGGTTTTGTCAGTCCTTTCTGTCCCATCCATCTAGTCCATCAACCTGGTGACCTTATATCCGAGGCTCTTAAGTCTTTTCCATGTCCCTTCCGCAGGTCTTCTTCATGTTTATACCTGTACTTTACTTTGTCTTCTACTCCTTTCACTCGGAGAGACTCCAGCTTGACAATATTTTTGTCCCTTCTCGACAAGTCAGCCCCTTTTCCATAGTCAACACTGAAGTCCATGTGATATTTAAAGGCATGTTTCAAGGTCCCTCCAAAGTTAAAGGCCCCCACAACTCCGAGCTCCCCCCGGCCCAAAGCCAGGCTTGAAGGGTCAAAACATCCCTGCATAGGGGGGGTCTATCCAGCCCCCCATCTCCAAGCCAAGCTGGACTCCATCTCTCCAAATCTGACTTTTTCCAGGGTCGTTCGTCAAATCCAACAACTCATGTTCCTGCTGGGCCACAGCTCCCTCCATCTCTGCCACCCGAGGTCCAGCAACAACCTCCTCCCTCATCTGATCTGTCAAAACACATTCCTGGATTAATTCCTGAGTGGGTTCTATATAGGTACCCACTGCCTGTCCAAAATTTCCGATCGCAACAGTCATCAAATCCATCTTCTCATGTAACTGTTCCAATAAAGCACTTGTCTTGCAAAAGGCAAACACCAGAGCCTCCGAGCACATTCTTGTTCAAGGTCGAAGTCTGGTCCCACAATCTTAATCTATTACAGCTGCAAAGCTCCCCAGTTCGGCTTTAATAACAGTTTCACAGGCTCCCTCTAGGGGAAACAATTTCTATTTGTATCCATCTTTTTTTTTATTTTATAAAAACAGATCTAGCAACAAAGTTTTTCCTTTTTCGGATATTTTGTCAATATTTTGTTCCTTTTAAATGCGAAGGGGAACAATGGAATCAATATGTTTCTCTTCTTTTAACTATCTGTCAAAAACGTTTGTCCATAGTCAATGAACTTTCCCAAAACGTCTGTCCTGACACCCCGCTCCCAGGTTCAAGACGGTGGAAAATTGCCTTCCTTTACTCTCTCTTCTGCAGGTTTAAACAGTCTAAAAAAGGTTCCCCCCTCTTCTCCTGCTTCCAAGGGGGGTTCAATAATTTTAAATGATGAAAATTTGATCCTTTACAGACGACTTTCTAAACTCTAGCTTGCCGTGTCTTTGCTTCAATCTATCTACAAAAGCGGAAGGCGGACTTCCTGTTTAGACCTTTCCGCTTCAGTGCCAAATTAAAAAAGTTTCTTAAATCCAATTTTCCGTTCTACTCACGGCCAGTTGTTTAAAATCCAGTTGTCCACAGGAAAAAGTCAGCGCTCTCCGGCAACAGCAATGCGGCTTCACTCCGTGAAAGAAGCAGTCGATTCAAAGCACCGCGCCACTCACCCCACGTCGCTCCAGATCCCCAAAACAGGGTTTCCCCACGAGTAGGGGAGGCACAAAGGTGCCAGCCGAATCCCACGTCCACAGGCTTCTCCTGCCTGTGGTTTTTGATGGGTCTCCGCCTTGCCGTGGCGGTTCAGACCCTGTTTTCCATGGAGCGGATTCCTCCCGATCGGAGGAAATCCGCCATTGCCAGAGGCGCCAACCCGGAGCATAGTATTAAGGAGATTTACACCTTTTGTAGTTTGCCACTTTTAATTTGTTTTTTAAATGGTGCAGCCTCCTTTTCCCAATATTCCTTCCTCAATTATGGGCCTTCATCAAGACCTCTGTTGCCAGATAAATATAAGATTCATAGCACATTGCCAAAAAGAAGGTAACTTTAGTTAGTTTTAAAGAATCCTCTAGTAGTTTTTCCTGATTATGCGACTGTTGGGTTATGATTCTTGGAAGTGCTTGAGACTGTTAGAAAGATTTGCACCAAAGCAATTCCTGCTGTGATTTGATAACCTTTCTGCAAAATCAATTGATAGATTAAACCATTTATCGTGTTTTGTGTGGGCTGTATTCTTACAAGCACAGGAACTCTTTTGGCTATTAGGGAATGATAAATTTGTGGCTGAGGAATGGGCGTCGACAAGAAGCCTCTTCTAAGTGTAAACACTTGTGCTGCTTGTTGAATTCCTGAGGTATATTAGCATTAGCTGAAGTACATGCGCTCAGGCTGTGAACAATGAATGTTCTAGAAAAAGTAAAGTATATTTTCAATAAATAAGAGCAGTATTAGTGCTGTTTGCTTGTTTGCTTTTCAAACTTTGTTCTTTTGTTTCAGGTAATCCCACTTCCCCAAGGAAGATCTGTTCCCTCCCCAAACATCAGACATTTTGTTCTACCAGAAAATTTTAGGCCTGCGCAAATGCTGGGCTCTCTAAAATTGCCTCATCAGCACCCATATTCCAACAGAAAACAGCATTTTAGCATATTTGAAGAAGATTCTGATGCTCCATTTGAAATCAACAGTGCTACTGGGGATCTGTTTCTTTCCAAGGAACTTGATTATGAAACAGTATCTCACTACTTCCTTAGAGTTGTTGTGAATGTATACCCGAATAGTTCTCCACAGAATAATACTTTTTTCCTCAGTATTGATGTCAAAGATGAAAACGACCACTCACCATCTTTCCAGGATGACTTCGTTGTAATTGGGATAGAGGAGAATGTGCCCGTTGGCACCTTGGTGTACACGTTTAATGCAAAAGATGGAGATGGAAGTTTTTTAAACAGCAACCTTCAGTATTCTATACACGGGAATGACTTCACTGAAAATCCATTTCTCATTCACCCCTCTTATGGTAGCTTAATCACAGCAGTTCCTCTTGACCGAGAGATGACTCCATTTGTTGTCCTGACAGTATCGGCAACAGATCAGGCTGCAAACATGACTGATCGCAGGCAGAGTTCATTGACAGCAAAAGTCATCATTTTAGATGTCAACGATAACCACCCTAGCTTCGTTTCATCTCCTCTTGCCTATGTTAGAGAAGACGCAGAGGTAGGCTCATTAGTGCATCACGTACTTGCACGAGATCTAGACCAAGGAAGGAATGGACAAGTCACATACCATCTTCTCTCGAATAACGAAGACCATCCATTTGTAATAGATAAAACTGCAGGTAAGGGTAAAAAGGGCTAAGTTAGCCCCATAGAAGTCGCACTGGGGATTCTTTCCATCTCCTTTTTAAAAATTGAACTCTTGAAAGCAACTTTTTGATTGAACATAGAGCAAAAGTGTTGTGGAAACTTGTAAACATTCACCAGCTTCCACAGAATTTAACATACTGTATTTTTTGCTCCATGACTCACTTTTTCTCTCCTAAAAAGTAAGGGGAAATGTGTGTGGGTCTTATGGAGTGAATGCAGGCTGCGCAGCTATCCCAGAAGCCAGAACAGCAAGAGGGATTGCTGCTTTCACTGCGCAGTGATCCCTCTTGCTGTTCTGGCTTCCGAGATTCAGAATATTTTTTTTCTTGTTTTCCTCCTCCAAAAACTAGTTGCGTCTTGTGGTCTTATAGAGCGAAAAATATGGTATATTAAAGGACTGTAGAAATGCATGGTCCAATTGAGTGTCAGTCTCAGCCCCAGTGACAAAGTGTCAAGGAAAGAAGCAAACAGGCAAGTTAAGCACCTCTGTAAGGGAAAAGGCACATACTTGTAATTTATTTAGCAGCACTTGGCCCACAATGCAGAATTGGAAGCAATGGTTTGAAGCACATTTGCAAACTATGCTTTGAGCTCTGATTTGTGCAAACAAAAAGCAGGTTACAAATGGAGAAGGTCAGCAGGGATATGGGAGCTATCTAGCGTATCGCACAGGGTGTGTGAAAATAAGGCATAGGTGTTTGTTCCCTTGAGGCCAGCTTTTCCAGCTGACCTGGAGAAGTTGAGGCAGAAAGTCTTATGTAATATCTCTTCTGCTGCAGTGGAGAATGAATGGCTCAAGGACGGGGGGTGTCATTTTGATGAAAATGGAAATGATCCCTTAAAGGGGACTTTTTCCTTGTGGATATAGCAGGCAAAGGCAAATCTTCTTTATGGTAATGTTTTCTCTGTACTTTAGCAACTCAGACCTTGGTTTGGCATCTGAACTATAGTTTGCACAAACCATCGATTTGACACGAGAGCTGAACTGAGCCATAGCAAAGCTTTACTGAAACACCAACTGCATTGGGAGAAATTTTATATCCTTACGACAATTTTCCCTCTTACAACAGGACTGCTAACTACTGCCTTTGCTTTGGATCATGAACACCAAGAATATTACAACCTGACTATTGTGGCCCTTGATAATGGTACCCCAGCTCTGTCTGCAACTCAGAGTCTGACAATAATTGTTGTCGATGTGAATGACGAAGTTCCAGTGTTTACCAGATCTCTATATGAATCTTTCATCTGTGAAAATGAAGATCCAGGAGCAGTTGTCATTAAAGTTGAAGCCATAGATAAAGATTCAGGTAGTTTGCTTTCTACAAAAAAATAAAATAAAAATGACAAATTCACATTATTTTGACATCAACCTTTGAATCTGAAACAATGCCAACAATCTTGTGCTTTGATATATGCGCTCACAAGCTCCTAAGTTGAAGATTGATTCCCCCCATTTATTGTCTGCCGTGATCAGCAGTGGTTCTCAAGGATCTCAGGTTTTTCTTATCACCTGCTGTCTGATTCTTTTTTAACTAGTGATGCAAATAATCAAAGATTGAGCCTTCTGCATGCAAAATATGCTTTCCATTTTGCTATAGCCCATCCTTTAGGGACTGTAGTTGTTAAACTACAGGCCAGGCATTTGTGGAAAGGAGTAAATGAAGAAGAGTGGGATGATCTGGAGGACGGTTTTGTCTTTTATCCACCAGTAGCCAAGCTTTATTGGGACGCGGGTGGTGCTGTGGGTTAAACCACAGAGCCTAGGACTTGCCGATCAGAAGGTCAGCGGTACGAATCCCCGTGACGGGGTGAGCTCCCGTTGCTCGGTCCCTGCTCCTGCCAACCTAGCAGTTCAAAAGCACGTCAAAGTGCAAGTAGATAAATAGGTACCGCTCCGGTGGGAAGGTAAATGGCGTTTCCGTGTGCTGTTCTGGTTCGCCAGAAGCGGCTTAGTCATGCTGGCCACATGACCTGGAAGCTGTACGCTGGTTCCCTTGGCTAATAAAGCGAGATGAGCGCCGCAACCCCAGAGTCAGTCACGACTGGACCTAATGGTCAGGGGTCCCTTTACCTTTACCTACCCAAGCTTTGGATGGGTTGAATGCCTCCAGCAGTTGAGTACTAGTGAGCCACACTAAATTTCCCAACTGGGTATTTAGTGTTTTGAGGAGCACTCTTCTTGGCCATTTATTTTTTTTCTATCTCAAAAGCATTTTTTTTTAAAAGTGACACATTTAATAGAAATTGGAAACATGCATTAATATCATTTGGCCAGAGTGGGGCACTGTAATCCCAGCATCTGTTTTTTTCTCCATTATAGCTGAAAAGAGATTGTGACCTACAGGAGCAAACCTTTTCTAAACATAAAAAGTAACAGCACAAACACTTCCTTTGCATTTTAATGTTCCCCAAATACTAACGTTAGAAGTAAAAGGAGAGGTTCAGCTCCTGTGGAATTTTCCCTAAGCAAAAATACTTCCAAAATTCTAGGGTACAGGATCGGTTGCATCTGTTAATGTTCCATGGATTTTAGTGAGATTTAAATTTACCTAGCTGGGCATGCAATGACAGTGACGGCAGAGCATCCACTGGTCTTGTAAAGAAGCTTGAGTGACAGAGGACTTGATAGGAAATTGGCTATAGGTGTTCATAATTCCTGAGTAAATCAAGCCAAAGAGGAAGGTATTTGCCTCTCTGCTCCTCTCCTGTCCGGTAAGCTTCATGTCTAATATTACCGTTTCTGCTGAAGAATGCTTTTGTAATTTCCCCCACAGAAGCGTGCACCTGAAAACATTATATTGGAATTAGCGGTCCATGAAAATGTTTGTGTGGTGATGCTATTACAAGAATCCAGGAAGGACCTAGGAACTTGCTCTTGGGGTTCCATGAAATAGCACTACCCATGAAGAGTTCCTAAGTCATGTTTTTCATATGTATGCTTGCAGAGATAACAGAAAAATTTGCACCACAACTTTATACATAGACTTGGATCGTAAGTTATGTACAAGTAAACTTAAAGTGGAACAGCTACCTGTGTGGTTCCAGATCATCATATTGCATTGTTTTTAATGTTGCTGTTAACTACAGCAGTATAAGCAAGACTACTTAAAAGATGGATGCTTGAGTACAAAGAGATGCATTTTCTGGTGGTTTCATCAGGGCAAGATTTTGGACAGGTCTCCAGGGTCTCACTTAAAAGAATAGGCAGGTTCCAGACACAGCATTGCTGACTTACCAGTTTTTGAGTGAGGCAATTGAAATTAACTTCCAAAGAGGAACCCCTACCATACCAATAAGCTGCATTGAATCCAGAATCTAAAATGGCCTAATTGTGCCATTTTGTACTTTGCAAGAGGTGGGGTTTCTCAGTATCTCCCTTGGAAAACCTCCTCCAACCCAGTGTAGCATTCAGCAAGCTGGTCCCCAAACTGAAACTGTCTGTCTGTATCTGTAATACAGACAAATATTTAACTTTTACCTAGCTGCAAGTCATATACAATAACCTGAGATGCATACTTGTTATCCTCTCTGCAAAATGTAGGATTAAATCCATTATACTTAATAGCACCAGTTATTTTGCTGTATAACACGTTATGAAAATGGTGCCATGCTTTCCTCGGGAGAGCACTGAAACCACAAGAAATATGGGAACAATTTATTCTGAAGCAATAAAGGATGCGAATGGGAAACAGAGTTCCCACTACAGAAGGCATACAGCTATAGCAAGAAGCAAACAGCTGCTAAAGTTCATAAACAACATTTTCTCCCGCAGCACTGAGGAGAGTGGTATTGATTTTGCATGGTAACGAAGTATTACAGAACGCCATATAAACTGTAGTTGCAGCTACCCCATTCTTAAGTAAGGTGCACGAATAACAATCAAGAAGGCGGGGTTCTCAAGTAGCGAAACACACCTCCTTTAGTTGGCTGGGCATTTGCTGGATGATGACAAGGGCATTCTAGATCAGAGTTATCAGTCTTTTCATGCTGAGGTCCATGTGTAGGGTGAAAGACTGAATCTGTAGTGGAATTGAGGGGGCAAGATTAAATGAGGGGAGAACCACCTTGAGCTCCTTGGAGCAATCAATAAGTGTAACCAGTCAATCAAACAAACACGTTCTAAACGCAGCATAAGGGGTCTCTATAGTATAGTGTATTTTAAAATGGGGTTTTAGAGTTTTTAGGGGTTTTTGAATGTTTTATGTAGTTTTGTAGTAGTTTTATGTAGTTTTGTGGTAATTTTATGTAGTTTTTCAATTTCATTGTTCTGCATGGGACAATGACAGTAAAGATATCGTATATCGTATAACAAACAAACAAACAAACAAACAAACGGTATGTTTGGCTTGTGGTTCTTATTGTAGTTGCCAACACCATGTGTTCCATAGCCAATTTTCAGTTGGTTTCACCACAAAGTAGTTAAAAATATCACTTCGTAATGTGATAAGAATAGTGTATTTAAACTACCCTATTTTTAGTATGAGGTTGTTTGTTTTATTAAGGTTACGTCTGCTGCTTGTGGGCAATGCATAAACACAGGGGCTACGTGTCCATAACGACTTGGAAAACTGTTGTATACAGAGTTGGTCGCCTAGCCCAATATTGGCCGCCTAGCCTAATATGGCTTCTCTGAATGGCTGCAGCTGAATTTAGGCAGAGATCATTCACCTCCTTATCTACCTGATGCTTTTTAAATAGAGGTCCTGGGAATTCATGCAAAACATGTGCTCTATCTCAGAGCTACAGTTTCCCTCCATTAAGAGATAAACGAGACTTGTATGAATTCCCTCTTACTTTCTTAAATTGGTTAGCGCATACACATAAATGTTCTCCTTACTGGGTACTTCTGACTTACTGAGATTTGTTGATTACTAGATCTTGTACACCAGAAACCCTGTGTTGTTTACAGTATTCTGGTTTGTATTGCATAAAACTACAACATTGGCTCTGCCTGATTAGGTAGGGGTTTCTTAGATGGTCACCTGGGGAGCTACATGGCAAGCACCTTTTAATATTTGGAGAATTAGGAATGATGTCTAATGCAGTATAACTTGGCAAGAAAAAACTCGCACTAGACTCACACAAGTCCTTGGTGCGAGCCAGCAAGAATTCTCCAGATTTTTATAAATAGGATTATGTTTGTCTTTCAGTTCATTGCTAAAGCTGTGCTGAGCTTTTTTTGTTTTATACAAGGGATTCTATACAAGTAATAATGAATTCAGTTACCTTTGTACCAAAATATTTCCATAGGAAAATAGCTAGTAAGCCAGTACCTGGACTATTAATACTGAGGTTTGATACACTTAGATGATTTATTGGTTTTCCTATTGTATTTTAAGGAATCAATTCTCTACTCCAGTATGAAATTTTACCAGGTCCTGGATATGAAACTTTTCAAATAAACCCAGATACTGGAGAGATTACAACAGTCACCTCGCTTGACAGGGAGGCTCAAGATAAATTCACTATTAAAGGTAAGAATCTACTTCAGTTTAATGGGTGTTGCACAAAATTTTGCAAGTAAATCAGTGGTTGTTTTTTTAAAAAAAACTGAGATTTTAATAGAAGTTGTTACTTATTGTCTCTACGCCAGGGCAACAAAATTTAATGAAACAAAAGCAGTGCAGTGTGTTCAGAAACATGAAGTTGTGTTGTGTCTTAGGAGGAACAGCATGCAAAGTTTGTTGTTCTCACGTTGTTGGCAGGCAGTCTACTGTACCTTGCTTTTGTATACTAGCTTTCAAATGTGCTTTTCTATTTAGTGCTGGTTCAAGACAGTGGAACTCCCATTTTATCCAGTACAGCGACAATAATCTTCAGAGTACTGGATGAAAATGACCACACTCCCAAGTTCATCCTTCCAGTTTCTGAGATCCAAATTATGGAGAACCAAGAGCCTTCAACAGTATCGACTGTGTTGGCTGTAGACAAGGACGCTGGTGGTAATGGGACTGTGCAATATCACATCATTGGTAGGCTGAATTGCTTTATACTCTGAATATTAAAAATGTTGCAGTGTAATATTTTCTGATCTCTTTAGAGGTTTTAATTTATTTTATTATTTAAATTGTTTTGCACTTGGTGTTTATCTTGCAATGGCATGGTTAAACAATATGGGAAATAGGCCTGCAACAAGTAGGGGTGGTGTTCTTCTTGTCTGGATAAGGAAAAATAACTATAAGGGTCCCTAGTAGCCAAAGCATAAACAGTAACAACCCAGAATATAAGAAACGATAGATATAGATATTACAACACTAAACATCTTTGCTTCCCATAGGTAAACTTTTGGTAGAGTAGCATGTCAAAATAACTCCTTTTGCTTAACAATTTTTGTAGGTTCCGTTGTGTAACTGAAGTTGGCAAAAGAGTACTTTGCTCAGGAGCAATAGATCTTGCAAGTTTGATTTGAGGAGGACAGAGGGGAAGAGAATCCATTTGGCAGAATAGTTGCTATTTAAATTCAGGTGGTGCTTTGGATCTACTACCGTGACCTGATTTAAATGAAATGCAGGTATCAGGAAAGCATACCTGGGGCCCATAGTTTCAAAAATTTTACTATAAGGTGGATTGGTGTTGGTTTTTTTAAGTGGTCCTTTAAAGAGAATGCTCAACCAAAGTGTTCTTTTTCTTTAATGTTTGCTCCATTTTAAAGGTGGAAATGTTAGAGGATTCTTTGCATTACACAAAACGTCAGGAGACCTCTTCACCACTTGCAGCTTAGACAGAGAAACTGACGGTAACTTTACCCTGGTTATTGAGTGTTTCGACTTGGGCAGTCCACCAAAAAGCTCGGTGACCCAACTGCATATCAAAGTCCTGGATGAAAACGACAACAGTCCCTTGTTTGCAAGAAACCAGTATCAAGTGTCAGTGAGAGAAGATATCGGAGAACGGTCAGCAGTTCTTGAACTTTTTGCAGCAGATGCAGATGAGGGTCCCAATGGTGAGGTCACATACTCTCTCACAGAGGACATCCTTGGAGCCTTCACCATTGACAGGATTACTGGTGTGATATTTACTACCAAACCGCTGGACCGGGAATTAAAATCTCAGTATGAATTTAAGGCTTTGGCAACAGACTCTGGCATCCTCGGACCAAGAAGCACGAGTGCTACTGTAATTGTGCATATTGAGGATCTCAATGACAATAGTCCCTTTTTCCTACAGAATCCTGTCATAGTTCATGTATCTTCTCACACACCTATAAATCAGACATTGGCTACTGTGAGAGCGAGCGATGTTGACCTAGGACTAAATGGAATTGTGAATTTTAGGTTCCTGAAACCACAAACCATGTTTCAGATGGGCCCAAGCACGGGAGAAATTTTTCTTCGACAACCTGTACCTCATGAAGGCCTCGTTTCACACCTCCTGATAGTGGCTTCTGATCAAGGAGTCCCAGCTAGAACAGCGACTGCACTTTTGGCCATCTATTCGGAAGCACAGGCAGAGATTATTTCGTTCAGCCGTACTGAGTATGAAACAGCAGTTCCTGAAAATAGTGAAATAGGTGGGTATCTAGTCATGATCTTTGCTTTTGTTCTACAGCCAAAACTGTGTCATTGTGGGGGTTTGTGTAAGGGACATGAAGAACATCTTACAGCAAATGCAGTCATGAGTTAATTGTTGATAATTGAATAGGAACTTTATGTTCTTGAGGACTGAGTCTGAATGGAATCATGCCTGAGTTGTTGCTCAGGTATATTATCTTATTTTTCTGTTCTCTCTGTGTGTACTGTTCATTCTAGATGAAAAAAGGTGTCGCATCACACACAGACTCCAATTTTAAGTACTGAACATGGGGGGAGTTGTGTTCATACAAACCAGGTTAGAAATAAATTAGGCTGCATAACTGCCTGAGATCACGCAATCATAGTTTAATGTTACTATGTACCAGTAATCAGTAGGTGTACCTATGAACAAAAAAAGTAGGTGGATCTTGTATTATGTAAAAATAACCTAGTTGATAGGAGGTACAGTTTTTATTGTACCTTTTGCTGTGTAAGTTTTAGCACTTGGGAAAATTATTTGCTCAGTGTCTTTCCATTGACAGCTTGTCTAAGCAGCTTTAATTGGAGCTAGTAGTGTTGGTCATCTAGAAAAGTGGTAGTCACTGAAGGCCCTTCTTATGATTTCTAGTTTGCAAATATATTTCACTTTCTCTGTTAAATGCAGTAATTTTGTTTTGCATTTCTATACATCAGTTGAGCACAATATTTGCTTCATTACCTTACCTGCCTGAATCAGCAGATTGTCTGTGAGTTTGTTCATTTTGAAACAAGGTGCTGTTAACTGGGATTTCCAACTTCTTGATTGCAGATATCTGTGGTTCTTTAACCTCTGTGCATGTGTGTGGTGAAAATGTATGGTGCTTTCCTAAGCTCAATGCTAGCAGCATTCTCTCACAAATGATTTTTTTTTTCATCTTTCATGGGGTTTTTTAAAAACAAGGCTCTTAGTAAATATGCATGTGATTATTAAAATTCAATGAGATAATCTGTTATTGAAACGGTCTGTTACAAATATGGCTTTGTAAGGGGTGTAGTTTGACATTATGGAAATTCCCTAAGGCGTTGTGGTAAGAGAATAGAAACAGCCTGCTGCTAAATAGTAATAAACATAAATAAGAATAAATTTGGATAGTTTTGATTAAACCACACTGAGGGAATATTTAGAGTGGAAATGTGGGAGTCTGCCTGCTTTAACTTGGGAATTGGCTCTTGGAGAGAAACAGTTTGCAGGATAGGATCTAGAAGTTCTTCTGAAGAGATTTAGACTTTTTATTTGCTCTGTTTTGAACTTGGTTTGCCCTCATTCATATGGGCAACCAAAAGGGAGAAAGTCAGCAATGAAGAAAATCATTCTTTATACCTTTTCCCATACATGGCAAACTGTGTTCATGGGAATGTGTACTGTTGTGGGGTAGGCAGTATCATCCCAGTCCGACATGCATTCATTTATTTTTACCACCACTCCTTCTAATGCTGAGCTTGATCTCAAATGGGGCCACTGAACAAAAAGAAGGAAGTAGCCAGCATGCTTGAGGGAAACAAAGATACTTGCAGAAGAACAGGTTCAGAAACTGAACTGAGAGAGTAAAACAAACAAACAAACAAACAAACAAACAAACAAACAGCCTCATAAGGGTTGAACTGTTTAGTAGCTATGGAACACTGAGCATCTGCTGGAGGAGAGATGAAATTGGGCAGTTGAATGGACAAGATGCATAGTCACAGCCTCCTGGTAATCTTCAAGATGCCAGCAGCCTAGCTGAAAGAAAAGGCAAGAAGCACAAAGAAGAGAGTCGAAACAGCAAAAGAGGGTGGAGAAAGAGATGCATTAGATATTTTAAAAGAGCAAAGAGAACTATCTCATTATTTAGAGAAGTAATTTCTGGGTACACATATTTTAAAATTTCTCCAGGAACAGAAGTGAGGCCTGTCTATAAGAAATCAGTGGAGAAATGCAAGATTTTAAATGTAGCTTTGGAAGATGATGGATGAGGCATAGCTCAAGCGAGAGAGGAAAGACAAAGATGCAAAAGGAGGGGAAGAAAAAGCAAAAACCAAGAGCAGAGGTGGCGGGGAGGAAGCGTCTCCACCTGCATCATCCAGCCCGGACACTGAGGTCCAGCGCCGAGGGCCTTCTGGCAGTTCCCTCGCTGCGAGAAGTGAGGTTACAGGGAACCAGGCAGAGGGCCTTCTCGGTAGTGGAGCCTGTGGAATGCCCTCCCAGCAGATGTCAAGGCAATCAACAACTATTCTACTTTTAAAAGACAACTGTTTAGGGAAGTTTTTAATGTCTGATGCTGTATTGTTTTTAATATTCAGTTGGAAGCTGCCCAGAGTAGCTGGGGAAACCCAGCCAGATGTGCGGGGTATAAATAATAATAAATTATTATTATTATTATTATTATTATTATTATTAAAAAGGTTGGATGGGCAGCAGAGGAGATGGGGGGGGGGGAGAGACTACAGCTTTTCTGAGCAAACCAGAACCTTAGTCAAAAAGGCACACTTTAACCATGGGAGAAGCCAGAAGAAGACGTACAAGATGCCATCCAACCATCTTAGAGACTCCACTCTGGATTTGTGTAGGGTTTACTCCTTAGGCTTTTCTTCTCCCAAATATATCCAGCATGGAAATTCTCAGGCAGGGCAACATTAGGAAAATGGCCTTACCATCAGCCTGACAAAGACTGGCATTCTGGGTGAGAGTGTCGCCAGCACTCCATTCATCAGCATTAGTGGCCAGACGCTTGAGACAGTAGGTGATTTTGTTTACATGGGCTCCACCATAACCTGCAACATCTCCATTGATGCTGAGCTAGAAAAGCGCATCGGCAAGGCAGCTGTGGCAATGGCTCAGCTCTCTAGAAGGGTATGGGAAAATGTGATGCTAATGTCCAATACCAAGATGAAGGTCTACCAGGCTTGCGTGTTTAGCTCACTGCTTTATGGAAGTGAGCCGTAGGCAACCTACAGCCATCAGGCACAGCACCTCAATGCCTTCCAAATGTCCTATGGCAGGAGGATTTTGGGTATCACATGGCAGGGCAGAGTTTCAAACAAATATGTGCTTTCCCAAGGCCGTATTGCCCAGCATGTTCACACAACTGTCTCAGCAACATCTATTCAGGCTTGGTCATGTCTACAGAATGGAAGATGGCAGGATCCCCAGGCCCATTGGCAGACCAACTCTGTATTACAAAGATGTCTGCAAATGTGACAACATCTACCCTGCCATGTGTGAATCCCTTGCAGACAACAGCAGTGCCTGCAGACAGACAGTCAGGCCGTGTAGCCATAGCAGTTACCAAAGGAGGAATGACTGCTGGGAGGCGTCCAGAGAGAAGAAACGCCGTGGTGCATCTGCAGTAGCACAACCAGATGCCTTCATCTGCCCCAGCTGCAACAAAATATGTCTGCAGCCACAGCAGGTCCTGCAACCTTCCAACAGTTGGACCTCACTCCCAACTCCTCCATTGTCTCCCAAGACAGACGGATGCCAACATGTGATCTTTCACACAACATAAAAGTCACTTCTGGAAAACTAGAAGAATCCAGCAGGTTATTTGCTTCCAGAAAAAAAACATTGCAACCCCATTAACCTGGAAAAATTGGATGCATTTTAATTTCATGTGATGACATTTAAATTTAGTGTGACGTGGTGATATATTGATCAAAAAGCCACTGTTTTACAACACAACAGGTGATGCAGCTTAAAAGGAACATTTGAATCTGGGATAAAAGCACTAGTATTATCAGGAAAATGCATTAATCACCACATTTGAATGTACCCTATTTCATTTTTGTCTGAAAGTTTCTATTATGTGATAGTGCGAGACTCTAAGAATGTAGTTGCGATGACTCTGACCAGCAATCAGAACTCCTGTTCCCATGATTAATTTCGGCTTTTGCATACCTGTCAGTTCCACCTTTTCACTTCTGTAGAACTTCAAAACATTCCTGCTTTGTTTGGAACTTCCCAGAAGCAGCTGAGCCCTTGCGATAACATCATGTGTAGTTTCTACGTGGATATTGTTGCTTCTGTGGCCAGGTAGGCAGCAAATAACAAGGCAGTTAACATTTCCTTTGTTCCTGTTTTTAGAAATTACAGTGTAAAGTACAAACATGAGAATTTTGTACTAGCATCAAGCCAAACTATAGAGATGGTATGTTCCTGACCCCTGGGTCTGTTTGTATTTACAGAATGTTTCCTGTAATATAATAAAATCTCATTTGGAAAAGGTCAATATACAGTAACCTGAATCCATCACAACTGATTAAAATCAATTGCCATGTTACAGAATTGGTTTCACAAGTGGCTAAAATTCCCATAGCTTTAATCTTGTTAGATCTTGAGGAAACCTTAACAACAAAAACCTATGTTGGTAACTGTTTTCTAAACTTAATCACAGTTAGATGTGATGTGTTTGGTTAGGATAATGCCTCGTGTTTTGTTTGTTCTTCCTACTTTTGCTACAAACAGAATGGTTGTTTATTTCATGCCTTTTGCTATGATAGATCAGTTCTCTTCTGGATTTGGGATCTCAATGAACAACGGTATACTCTCTTTGATGTTAATAACAAACTGTGCAAATCTTTGTGAAACATCTTGAGGCTAATTCTTGCAACACTAAAAACGTGTAACCCACTGAAATGTTTGACTTTTTTCTTTGACCAGCTTGAACACCCCTTTCACCCAAAACATATCACAAAATGACTTTGAAATACCTCATTTTCAAAAGGCATTTGCCATGTGGTATATGGTGGTGGGGGTCTTCTGTTTGGGAGAAACTTAAGTAAATGTGTTTAGTTTGGTTCTTTGAAACATGACTATATTTTGGTTTTTTTAATTGTTTGTTTATTTGGGTTTTTCCTTTCTTTTCCTCAGTAGTGCTGTGAGAAACATTTTCTTTCTTTTAAGAAAGAAAGCATAGGGCTGCTTAAGAAATCAGGGGCCGCAAGCTTCCTTCAAAAGGACCAGTTGGTCTTATTAGCGTTGTAAACAGACGTTATGCGAGGTACTTGTTGCACAAATTAGGTGACAGTGAGTAACTTTTTGAAATGAAGAACAAGCTGGATTTGAAGCAAACACCAGAAAACAAGCAAGATCAGGTTGTTTAGAACATCATACAAATTTTGCTCTATATTTTTTATTCTAAATGACCTGGTCTTGCTTGTGGATCATCACTGGTACATTGTGAAACTGCCATTCTTTCATATTGATTTTGGAACATTCCCTCTACTCTACTGGTACATTCGCATGCATTGATTAAACATGGTACAAAATGGAAATCTTTGTCTGATCATTATCTTGTGCCCCCGTGTGTTCCTCTATCCCTACAATCATGTGTTTCAACATGCTGTCTTTCATCACAGGATGCTTGTACATACTCACAAAGAGAAGGGAGGCAAGGATAAATGAAAGGAAATAAATCTGCAACAAACTGGGGATGTGAATTAATTTTAGCACCTCCCTATTTTAAATTGGAAAGAAGGAAGATAAGCAGAATACAGGGCCAGATGAACTCACAGATCAACAGAGGAATAGATCCAAGGAAATACACCCATTCCTGCTGCTTATGTACTGTAATTTGGAAAAATATATATGATATTATGACATCCTTGTCCAAATTTCTGTCTAAAGTTTTGGCTGCTGCACCTCAAAAAGGGTATTGTAGAACTGGGAAAGGTTCAGGAATGAGCAGCCAAAATGATAAAGGGGGCTAGAGCATCTCATGTATATGACAAAAGGTTACAAAGTTTGAGGTTTGTGGAAAAGGTAAGGGGGAACATGATAGTGCATTATAAAATTGTGCATAGTGTAGAGAAAGTAGATAAAGAGGACTCCCCCCCCCATCTTTTTCTCATGATAAAAGAACCAGTGGTCTTCCAATGAAACTTAACATTGGGAGACCCAGGACAGACAAAGTGAAGACCTGATTCATGCAGCGCACAGTTAAACTATGGGATGTTGGGATAGCCACCAACGTGGGTGTCTTTAAAGGGGGGTTAGACAAATTCATGACTTTTAATGGCTGCTAGTCGTGGTGTCGCACGTGGGTGGCGCTGTGGGTTAAACCAAAGAGCCTAGGACTTGCCGATCAGAAGGTCGGCGGTTCAGATCCTCATGACAGGGTGAGCTCCCGTTGCTCGGTCCCTGCTCCTGCCAACCTAGCAGTTTGAAAGCACGTCAAAGTGCAAGTAGATAAATAGGTACCGCTCCAGCGGGAAGGTAAACGGCGTTTCCGTGCGCTGCTCTGGTTCGCCAGAAGCGGCTTAGTCATGCTGGCCACATGACCCGGAAGCTGTACGCCGGCTCCCTCTGCCAGTAAAGTGAGATGAGCGCCGCAACCCCAGAGTCGGTCACGACTGGACCTAATGGTCAGGGGTCCCTTTACCTTTTAGTCATGGTGTCTATATTGTATGCAGTATCAGATGCCATATGTCTCTGAATACCACTTCATGAAGATCATGAGTAGGAGCATGCTGTTGTGCTAATGTCCTGCTTGTGGCCACTTGACTGACCACTGTGAGAAGAGAGTGCTGAATGAGATAGGCCTCTGGCTCTCATTAAGTTCTTAAGCATAACTGTGTCCTGTTCTTAGAATAAATGAGTTCCACACCCCTTTGCAATATTTGATGCTCTCCAATGTCTTCTGCAGTTTTTAGACCACTTTCTTACACTGTCAAAATGTGGATGGGTAATGTTCATGAATTAGTGTGATGAATAGGTTTGACCGGTTGGTGAGGCTGACAAGAGCTGTGCAAGAGAACAGAATAATACCTGTCATTATTATCTGACTATATAAACAATGTGCAAAAATTCTCCAGATAGGAGACGGATGGCTAAACTTTCATAGTTCGACCTCACATGGAATAAATTAATAACTGGTTAAGATAAAATCTTTCCAAGTTTTAGTCACTGCAACATATTCTTGTTTTTCTAGGCACCTCTGTTTTCACTGTGGCTGCATATGACCGTAGTCTGATGGGAAAGAATTTAAAACACACAATCATCGGTGAACATGGAGATATTTTCTACATCCATCCCATCATGGGTAAATCAGCCTATCTATCTGCATCTGTTCTAAAACCATTTGAGGCTTTTGTAAAATATTTTCCACACTTGAATTATGATTGCTTTTGTATAAACATTATCTCAGTGGTTAGTGTTAGTTTATTTAAGTGCCAGTGGAAGCTGGCTTTTGGCCTTTAAATTTAACAAAGATGTGTTTGCTAAAATCAAACTTTCTTAGGATTGCTTTTCTACAAAACAAATTCAGGGCCTGATTCATTCTTCCATGGTAATATTAGCAGCGGAACTGAGATCTGAAACATTATTTACTTGCCCTAGGTGAGAAAATGATCAGAATAGATTTTCACAAAGTTATCCTCTGAAACAAGGTTTGTTTTTGCTAATAGTAACACACTTTGTTGTTTAGTCGTTTAGTCATGTCCGACTCTTCGTGACCCCATGGACCAGAGCACGCCAGGCACCCCTGTCCTCCACTGCCTCTCGCAGCTTGGTCAAACTCATGCTGGTAGCCTCGAGAACACCATCCAACCATCTGTCGTCCCCTTCTCCTTGTGCCCTCCATCTTTCCCAATATCAGGGTCTTTTCCAGGGAGTCTTCTCTTCTCATGAGGTGGCCAAAGTATTGGAGCCTCAGCTTCAGGATCTGTCCTTCCAGTGAGCACTCAGGGCTGATTTCCTTCAGAATGGATAGGTTTGATCTTCTTGCAGTCCATGGGATTCTCAAAAGTCTCTTCCAGCACCATAATTCAAAAGCATCAATTCTTCGGCAATCAACCTTCTTTATGGTCCAGCTCTCACTTCCATACATCACTACTGGGAAAACCATAGCTTTAACTATATGGAGTAACAGCCAATTGTTAGCCTTCAGGTGTCATCCTTTCTATCACCTAGGCAAGGGGTAGGAAACCTCAGGCCCAGGGCAAATGCAGCCCTCCAGGCATCCTCTGTCTGACCCTCAGGATCCTCACTAGGTTATGTTCCCTCCCCAAGCTACATCCCCTACTGGTCCTGCCTGCTCTGCAACTCCTCAAATGTTTTTGCCTGACTAAAATATGGCCTTGATCTGTGATAATACCAGCTGTTTTCCTGGGTGGAGGTTGCAGTTTAGGTTCGCTATGTTTCTCATTAAAATAATCAGTAAGTAAATTCATCGAACATCAATTGTGATCAGGCAAAGTGATTGCAAACTTCCCATCAATTTTAATTAGCCAGCTTTAATGTGACATATTTCATATTTAACTTCAACAGTGTTTCAAATATGGATGTGAAAAGGGCTGTAAACATTTTTGTATATTTGTGGAAAATCCATTGAAACATAAAAGTATGTATTTTTAAAAGATTTTTACATAAACCATCCACTGGCTAGATTTTATGAGTAAAGCCGCTGTATGCTAAATGAATACCATCTGATAGCTGAAAAGAACTTCCTTCTGGCTGTGGAAAGAGATCTACTGCTTAGTTAAACCTCAAGTATGTTTTTAATAATCAATTATTTTATTAACATGACTGTCTCATTTAATCTCAATCAAGTACGCATTTGGGAACGTTTACATAAGATGTTTTCAACAACTGGATTGTTAATAGAGGAGAGTCAAGCTATATGTCTGTCTCTGTGTGTGTACACATATGTTTACTTGTGCTGGCAGAATAATCATAGCCAACCCAAGATCCATTTCCATTGGGATGATTCTGAGGCATGATTAGAGAGATGGGAGCTTATAGGTGCTCAGTGCCACTATTTACACGCATATACAGCCTCATCCTGTGCTTTGCTGTGCAGTAAAGCCTTGATTATCATGTGGCACCAGGGTACCAGCATGTGTACTATAGGAACATAACTGAATTCTTCTTGACCAGGATACTGCTGTGCCTGCAGTCCAGCACAGGGAAACCCCTGTTGGAGATTCATTCCCCGTGTCTGCAGTCATAGGATTGTTGTCTACCACATGTCGGCATATGTTTTCATTCCACAGTGTGGGAAGTGACAGAGACAGGATGTTTGTGTTACTGTGTTCCGTGAAGTGGGACTATTGTCCTTTGTTCTCTCTCTGAAGTCTGATGAGAAGGAGTGAAGTCAGAATGCTCCAAGTGTATTATATGTAAATAAACGTAGATTAGCCAAAATGCTGTGCTATTGGTTCTGTTACGCAAACTGCGAATACTCTGTGGATCCGTACGTGTGCAGCAGTCGCTGTGATCTGTGGTCAACAGATACAAATGTAAATAAAACAGATGCTGTGTAAGTTCCAACAGTGCAGTTTTTGATACTTTTATGAAAAGATAAAAAAATTAATGTGGTTGAATCTAGACTTCACCTACTGCAGACAGAAAGAGTCCTTCCATCCATGGGAGGCATTTCATCCAGTGGAGGGAGTCCCACTAGTTGGAGGAGGGAAGTAACTTTTGCCAATTCTCCCATTCCCTCTGCAGCTCCCAGTGTCATTTAGCCAAGAACGAGAGAGGACTTTGGAAAAGTTGTTTCCCACCTCCCCTACCCATACAAGCACCAGGAACATAGCTGTGTTCAGGGGGTTCTGATAGAAGGGAACTGTAGACCCAACCATTGATACAAAAAAGAACAAAGTGTTAAGACTCCTCATTGTTTTCACTGTGACAGACAAAGAGGGAGATGTAAAAATACTTGTTATGATGCACAGTTCCCTATCAGTTCTGTTCCTTCTCTCACCTGTAGTCTGATGTGGCACAGCCCATAGTTTTATAACCATGGTGAGAAGTAGGCCTAAAAGCCAGGTCACGTACAAAATTCATGCTGCAGATGTTGGCTAGGGGAAACATATATCAGTAGCTGCAGAGTATGATACCTAGGTCCAAGGTTATGGTCTAAAGCAACCTTTCTCAACCTGTGGGTCCCCAGATGTTGAACTACAACTCCCATCACCCCTAGCTAGCAAGGTCAGAGCTCAGGGATGATGGGAGTTGTAGTCCAACAACATCTGAGGACCCACAGGTTGAGAACCGCTGGAAGCATGACAGGTTTTGCAGAAGCTTAGCAGGACTGGGTTTGGTCCATTTCCCAGATGGGAGTCCTTTGTATACCACCTTGAATATCATGCTGGAATAAATGCAGTACATAAATAAGGAGTTTTCTTTTTCTTCAAATACCCATTGTGCAACCTTGATGCAAGGGTAATATAGAAAGGAATGTGCAAATGATAAAATAAGACATCAGAAAAACTGGCAGTGGGTCATTAATTAGGCCTTTGAAACGCAGCCTCCTTCACAGAGAGAGCTCTAAACTGTACCCATTGCATTGGTAGTGGCATAGACAAATATTTGTGGCAGAAGGGTAGGATTGTCCTGCCTTGTAAATGTTGGCTTCTGGGGTAGTAAGAATTCACCAAGATAAGTGTGTGCCACCAGTCCTCATCTGGACCTCTTCCATTAGCCTTTCTTTGGCTGCTGTGGATCCTGAACTGGACTAATAAAAAGCAGATGCAGTCCCACTTTAATGTAGATTGCTTGGTTAGATTACTTTTATTAAGATTCTCTAAAAAATAAAAAATGCTTTTTGCCAAATTGCCATTATGGTTTTCATTTTTTTCTGCACTTTTTAGAGAGTGATTGAAGTGAAGGAAGAAACTCTAGATCTACAATTTAAAGTGGTTAAAATAGATAACCAGGCATACAGTTGTCTTCTCTTTCATTTACAAATTTATTTACCTTGTTTACTTAATTTTTTTATGTAGACTGCACTGCCGTTTTAACTATGTATGTATATTCCTGAATATATAACAGTCATCTTTTTGTTTTCATCAAACAAAACAGGTGACATCACAGTGAAACGAGCTGAATTTCTTGACTATGAAGTGAGGAAAAAAGTGCATTTTGCAGTCTTAGCTGGAAATGGCTTCACTTCAGCGGTGTGTGGGGTGACAGTATTTATACAGGATGTGAATGATAATGCACCTCGATTTGAGCAAAACTATTTCAAAACATCAGTGTGGGAAGGTCAAGACTACAACACATACATCATGCAGGTAAGCTCAAACGTGTTTAAACTATATTTGTCTGAAGTTTCCCTTCTTAATGAATACTGCATTTTTTTGTCCACTTTTATCATCATTACAAACCAGTCATCACAAACCAGTTAATTTATCTAACCAAACTCTCCAGATTGACAGGACCATTTGAAATACCTATTTTGGGTTACTCCTCTCAATTTTTTAATGCATCCTTTCTCACAAGGGTCCCTGGTGGCTGAACATTCTGTCTCTTTTTGGGCAGGAGGAGAGAGAGGGGGCACTCGTCTTGATGGGACAAAAAGAGGAAATGTAGATCTTGTAAAGAAAATGAATGTAAATTTCAGTTCTGAAGTATGCAGCACTGATCTGCAACAAGGAGCAATAAAAACAACTGTGGTCGCTACAAAATCAAGAAAGCCATATGATGAACATATATGAGAAAACATGGGTCTTACTTGAATTCAAAACTGGAACCAGCATTTAGGAAGCCATGGGACTGCATGCACACACTCACTACCAACACTTGTAATTTCCCCTGCTGTTCTAAGTTTTCAGATCCTTCTCCGTATGCAAGGCAAGCTACTGCATGTGACATTGCAGCAGCCTTAAGCATGAGGGGACATTGACCCATGTATGGATTATGCCACACTGAGAATAAGTTTCATTGGCTCTAAGGATTGGCTGTAAGGGCTGTGTTGGATACCTTCTGAACTCTACATGCACCTATTGTCACATACATGGGAAAATAATACATTCGGCCAATACAAGCAAAGTTGCAACACAAACAAACTGCAGGAAGCGCCACATGTGCATCCGAGATTCCTTTCTACTCCAGCATGTAGAGCTAGGTGCTTTAGCATAAGGATGGGTTTTCTCTCCATACAGATCTACGCAACAGACGATGACGCTGGACTTAACAGAGAAATTGAATATTCCATTTTATCTGGCAACACAAATGAAGCATTTCTTATTGATTCAGCACAAGGAATTATATCAACAAATGCAATCCTAGACCGTGAAGACATTCCATCATATAGGTTTGTTTATAACAAATACAAGATCTATAGCTGGTGTGAGTTTTGTTTGTGTGGGGTAGGGTGGGGAAGAAGGAGTTGTTGGGTCAAGTTAGCCATAGCAATTCGTATGCTGTCAGTGGGTTCTTGTTGTTGTATTGTTGGTCTGTTTATGTAATGAAGAGGAAGCACCCGGGGTAAAGGTATCCTCTTTTAATTTGTCCTCCTTTAATTTAGTTTCAGTTTGTTGGTTAGCTTTTCTAGTAAGTCTGTGTCCCATACAGTTCGGTACCAGTGGTCCATGTTCACTCCTGACAAGTCCCTCCAGTGTCTAGCTATGATACTCCTAACTACTGAGAATAGGGGGTTATAAGCTCTTTGTAGTGTGAGTGTGCATTATTGTCTTGGAAATTATTCAATAGGGCTATGAACTTTGCTTTTTCAAAGTTTAAATGATCTCCTCTTTGACCTACACAATAAACTTGGGTGGAAATGTTAAATGTTAAGAGCTTCAGAGGGAACTGCTGACAGAAGCTTAAATTTGAATGTCTTGAATATAACGTTGGTTTTTTTTTTTTATGAAAGTTGGTGTGTGTGGATGTGTGTGTGTGTGTGTGCTTGCACACTGAAACTTAAGAAACCGATTATTTTAGTAAATATCTCCATGTGTACCTTCTTGATATATGTTCTAGACAAAATATGAAATTATGCATGTTTACAAACTTTGAATGCAAGTCTGTAATTCAAGTAATGTGTTCTGACAATTTTGAAGCCGCAAAAACTCAAGAGCAGAACTGGTGTGGTAGATGAATGGCATTAGACTCCACATATCAAATTGCAGCTTTTTGTGTTCAGCGCCGTCATGTGAATAATGGGAAACAATGCTGTTTGTCACTTTTGAAAGGAAGTTATTGTGTCAGAGATGAAAGAGAAGATGAATTCTGCATATTTATTTAACAAATGTATATTCCGCCCTTTCCCAAGCTTTGAAGTGGATTATAATGACATTCACTACAAAATACATACTTCCAAAGGGAGATAGAGAAAAATAGGTTTACCAATTTAAACCTATTTAGAATATGTAAAACACATGACATCCGTGAAGCGTTAATGCCAGCCCTGAGTCCTGCTCCTTTTGTTCTAGTTCCCGTTTAACCCTCTGTCGTTCTTGAACTGAATCCCTTCCTCACATGTTAAAAAAGAAGTGTCATGTAAATGATAAAAAATTAAAGTTACAAGGTTTCTCCCCTACCCCACCCCATTTTCAGAAGGATAATTTTGGAAATAGTTTATCATTTTTGGTGTAACTTTTAATTAGATAAAAAGTCATGGTTTACAAATACGGAACATGTTTTTTACTCTCTCTTTTTAACAGGTTAGTTGTGCAAGCTACTGACAGAGGAACCCCCAGACTATCTGCTACAAGCACAATAGAGATACAAGTTGTGGATATCAATGACAATGCTCCAACTCTCCAGCCGTTCGGCATCGTTGAACTGCCTGAAAGTAAGAATGGCAAACACCAAGTAAAGAGATTGTGCTGGTTTGGACCTAATCCTGCTAAACCATAGTTTACTGCAGCTTTCCCCAACCCAGCACCCTTCAGTTGTTTGGACTACAGGCAGCTAGGATGGTCAGGAATAATTGGAGTCATACTCCAAAACATCTGTAGGGCACCTAGTTAGAAAATGCTAGCTCATGCTTACATGAATAAACCACAGGGAGCTTTGTGCTCACACATTTTCCCCTCCCCTCCCTCTCATTCAAGGGCTTTCTCTTATGTTTTAAACTAACCACAGCATGTCACGTAATTAATTTTAGCTATGGTTTATTGAAAGTCAACTTCATGCCATAGTTTTAACAAACCATAGTTACAATTAACCACAGTTTAAGGCTCAGAAGTATCACAAGATGTGGTCAGCCAAAATTAGAATCAGAATTTGAACTTGCAGCCATGCCATAGAATGAGACGGGAGGGAGGAGCATTTGATCCTGGGGCACGCTGCAGTTTGTCATGTCAAGCCATGGTTTAGAGTTCTGTGCAAATGGGGCCACTGTCTTTTTATGCCTTTGTAATAAATAGGGGAAAATTTCTCAGATGGGAATTTTTTTTTTATGAGTAGCACATATTCTGTGGCATATTTCTGCTGGCTGGGAAGCTTATATTTGTGAGCAACTTAAAAACAGCATATAAAAGAATGTGGTCTGGTGCATTAAATCTCAAAACATTGGTAAAAGACCCTGCTGCGAGGTTCAGATGTCAAATTCCTAAGATTTATTTTCAATTTCTATTTCCCTTTTGGAGAAAGAAACACAGTTCTTAAGCCAGAGTTCCCAACAGTTAACTTTTCAATTCTATTGTTATTGACTAAAGTAGCACTTGTGTTATGAAAGTTAAGTAACTTCACAGTGAATCAACTGAAGCTGTTGGCTTGTGTTGGAATGTTCAGCAATTTTGTTCCAGTGCTTCGTCCTTCTTCTGATGTTACATTTTGTGGCACAGTAGCTATTCCAAGGGCCTCTTTTTTCTACCACATGTTTGAGGTCACATGGAATGGCTCTTCCTTATGGCTCCCCATGCCAGCATCTCCACTTTGGGGAACTGAGAGAAGGACAGTTTCCATGTGACTTGGAACTGCTGCCTATAAAGAGCAGCACAAGAAGGAGTTATGACACATCAGCCATTAAAAATAAAGTCCATTTTGAGATTTCTTCCTATGTTTTGATTTTTCACTCACAGCGGTGATGCATGTCACTCCCAGAAGTGGAAAACATTTATGCATTTGCCACCCACCAGCCAGACATGGGGTTGCCAATAATCCAGAAATAGCTTGGCTTATCCGTATCTGGTTTATGTAGCTATTCCTCCAGAATTATAGTTTCACTCAGGCGAATTGACCTTGAAGAACACACCTGGATGAAAATTGTCAATCGACTGGGAGATGAACTTTAGACCTTAAAATCTGCAATTTGCATGCCAGATATTCATTACTGTACTCAGGCGTCAAACAAGGACCAGTTTTGAAACATCTGGACAAAATTATATTCTTCCAAAATAACTCCTGACATAAGAAGAGAGTAGTTCCATCCAGTAAGCTATTAACTTCCTCTTCTTCTTTTTTTGGCTTTTCATTCCTACTAGTTCCCCTTTCCTCCTTTTAATAGTGGTCTCATATGAACACCAAACATACATGGGTGTATTTGTGTTGCCAGTATATTGTTAAAGGTCTGGCTTTTCATTTCCTGTGACCAAGATTGCAAAGGGTAAGAGATGTGTGCCCTGCCATGGAATAGCTTTGATACAGCTAAATACAAAAACGCTGGGAAGAGCTAGCAGTTCACAACATAAACATTTAGGTAATAAGCCACCTTTTTAACTGCTATTTTATGAAGTGAGGGAAGATTATGCCATTTATTTCTTGAGCAAGTGTTTTTTCTTATTTGCAGTGTGGGGATGGGATTCTTGCAAAACTTTGCTAGAGGATTTAACAGCATATACACAGTTTAGTACTGTCATCCACATTATATTTAACCTTACCCTTAAAATATTCCTAAGATTTCTGGCAACTATGCATGTGTGTTTTTGTACACATAAAGTTTGTTGATGAAAATTTCTGGAGGGCTTGCAAGAACAACAGTGATAAATAAGTCTTACTCTTAAATATGATGGTTGTAGATGCTCCACTTGGCTCCCTGGTGATGCAAGTATTGGCAGATGATGCGGACCTAGGACCACCCCTTCACTACAGTTTTGCTGAGAATGGAAATCCTGGAACGAAATTTGCAATTGACCAATGCCATGGAACAATCACATTGGTGAAAGCATTAGATTTTGAAGAAATCACTCAGCTTGAACTGTTGGTCAGAGTTTCGGATTCTGTGCACGCAACTACAGAACAACTTCTGATATTTATATCTGATATTAATGATAACCCACCAGTATTTACTCAGGATGCATATCAGGTAAGAAAAGAAACTTTACAGTAAGTAATTTAAAGCTTTTGTTGTGAAGACATCTCTTCATGTGACCTTAAGATGCTGTGGACTTTCCCCACCCCCTTTCAGGTGATGATACCAGAACGTAGGCCTGTAGCTACTGCTCCTTTGACTGTCTATGCCACAGACAGAGATTCAGAGTACAATGGAAAGCTAACCTACAGAATTCTTCCCCCCTCTGATGAATTTTCTGTTGATCCACAAAATGGTGAGTTCATTGTATATTTAATAATTTGCAGTGTGGAACATACAATATGAAGTGCTTTGTCTGGGATGCCTATTGAAGCTTCTTGTTATCCACACATCAAACACAGCCAAAATTGTCATCCATATCTGCAATACAATTGCATTGACAGCACTGAGAGAGCGGGTGATGGGAAGATTTAAGTGATGAACAGAGGGCATGTAATGAGCACCTAGCAGTCTGTTTATTTACCTGTTTGTTGAACATGCCATGCTATTACTTACTTCAAGAGTTCAAACGAAAAAAACATTAAATTACAGCATACCTTTAGGCATTCAAGTAGAAGCAGGATTTTCCAGAAATATAAAGAATAAAGAGATCTGCCACATTTAATAATTTTGCAAAAGAATTTACACACACTTTTGGGGAAGCCCACTAGAGGAGTGTTGCCCAAACTCTGGTCCCTGGCACGTCTGTGGATTTGTAATTAAAGATGGCAGACAGCACATCCATTGCGTTAAATATTCATATTGATTTTGAAATGTAGTTTTATTGTTTCTCTTATTTCTTATATTGTATTTTATTGTATTACAACTTGAATTTCTATGAAATTCAAATTGTAATACAATAAAAAAGTATAAGAAATAAAAGAAACAATAAAAGTACAGTTCAGATTCATACAGTACTTAGCACAGTGGATTACAATTGCTACAGTGAGCAGGAAAAGCATTAAATGGCCTGCCAAGACCCTCAGTAATTTTGAAGAGATCCACGGGGAAGAAAGTTTGGGAACAACTACGCTATAGCCTAGGTATGCTCCAACTGGAAAAGAAAATGTTCAGCCTTGCAGAATTAGGTGACATGTTGCTATTGTTTTAAACTCTTGTGGTTTACTCCCAGTTGGGTATAGGATTGTTGCCTTAAAATCATTTCAAATGACGACTGTTTCTTTTAGGAAATGCTGGAGGGGGGATTTTAACTGAACCATTATGCTTCTATTACTGAAAGTTCGTTTTGAAATGTGTTTTTCTAAAACTTTATTTTAGGCTCACTATATCTGGTTAAGACAGTGACATACCAGGAAAAGAATCCAGTTATTCGACTCCATGTAGAAGCCAGTGACAGTGGGAATCCTCCTTTGACTGCTGTTGCTTCAGTGCTCATACAGATCCAGGATGTGAATAATTACATCCCTCAATTTACTGTACCATCGTATAATCTCAGTATCAGTGAAAATGTCTCTATTGGAGAGATGCTGCTAACATTCTCAGCTATTGACAATGACAGGACACATGACAGCACCTATGTTGAATATGCCATTATTGGTGGTAATGGTAGTAATAAGTTCCAGGTGGAAAAATGCATCGTTGGGCCAGAGTCTCCAAGTAAAATGGCCGGAAACCTTGTGTTGAGAAGCATTCTAGATCGCGAGAGCAGTTCATCTTACCAGTTATTAATTCTTGTATCTGACCGTGGGACTCCTCCTTTAAACGCCACAGCTACAGTGTCAATCACTGTTTTGGATATTAATGATAACCCACCTATATTTACCAGTTTGGAGTATAAAGTTCATGTCAGGGAAAATTTCCCTGTAGGCAGTCATGTTACTGCTGTCTCAGCTAGTGATTGTGATGCTGGACCTAATGGAGATGTCACGTACAGTATCACCTCTGGAAATGACAAGGGGCACTTTCGTTTAGATGGGAAAACCGGCTCCCTTGACCTGGTCAGAGCTTTGGATTATGAAGAAACAATGAATTTCAGTCTCACCATTCAAGCTTCTGATGGAGGAGCTGGCATACAAAATGTGGCCTTCGCTGTAGTTTTTATCAGCGTCCTTGATGCTAACGATTACGTCCCAATATTTGTATTTCCCACCCAGGACTGCAGAATCCATGAAAATCTGCCTGCTTTTTCTTTTGTCTGCAGAATTTCTGCACTGGATTTTGATACCGGCCCCTACAGTCACCTTTCGTATTCCATCCAGTCATCATGTTTGTCTCGTCATGGAACTCCTGGAGATCATGACATGTTTTTCATAGATCCTCTGACAGGAGAGATCCGTACCAAGCAGGCGCTTGATTTTGAAGACCAGGACAAGTATTGCTTCATAGCTCAGGCCAAAGACAGAAGCGACTCAACAGCCACTATCACCGTTCAAGTGGAGGTCGAGGGGGCAGATGAATTTGACCCTGTCTTTAACCAAGACCAATATTTTTTTGATTTCCCTGAAAGGAATGAAGCAGGGCAGTTGATTGGCAAAGTCACAGCATCAGATTATGACGGAGGATTGGATGGTGTTGTTCACTACACTTTGCTAAAACAGTCACCCTTCTTTTTTGTGAACCACAGCAGTGGTGCCCTCTACTTGACCAGACCTTTCCACAGGAAGAGAATCGGCATGAAGAGAGCAGGGGATACTCTTGAACTGCTTGTAAAAGCTCATAGCCCAAAGCTAGACTCGAAGTCTAGCACGTGCACAATTCTGGTGAATGTTTCTAAAGCTCCAGAGACTTATTCCATGTTGCCGGTGGAAACGGTGTCTATTAGCATCGCCGCTTCTACTGTAGCATTCCTGTTTCTGGCCATCAGTCTTGCTGTGCTTATTGTTAGATTCAGGCGAAAAGACACTGCAAACTCCAGCATGAAGAAAGAGATGCCATGTCCCTCATCTGCTGATTTGAAATTAGACCATGAGAATAGTGCTCCTAAAGATGTCCGGAAATCCCAAATCCATGCAACCGGTAACCTTCCAGTAGGCACCATAGCGGAGTGGCTAAGTTTGGTAGGCATCAGAGAGAGAAGGGACATGGGTAACCATTGTAGGCATTCAGACTCCAGCGGCCATGGCTCTGCAGAAGGAGAAACTGCAGAAGATGAGGAAATAAAGAGGATCAATGAGCATCCCTGCAGGAAGGGTTCCGGATCAGCTTTAAGTGACCGAGGCTCACGTATACCTGACTCAGGAATTCCTCGAGACTCTGACCAGCTTTCATGTCAGTCCGAGGAGACTGATGTCGTGGCCATTTCTCAAAGCATAGAGGCTGCCCACCCTTTCCAAGATGGAAGTGGAGGAGAGGGAAGAGACTGTGATGCAAAGTATGCTTGCAATAAAATGCTGTCCGAAACACTTCACAACCTGGGGATGAAGGAAAAAGACATCATGACAGACATCACCAGAGAATATATCTTCATACCTGATGATCAGAACTCCCATTATGGATCTCTTGCTACCCTAGTTGACTCTGATGAGGATCTCAGAGGCAGCTATAACTGGGATTACTTGCTTAATTGGGAACCCAGATTTAAGCCTCTCGCATCTGTGTTCAGTGATATTGCAGAACTGGAGGATGAAAGCTTAAAAATGCATAGCTTTCCTAAGGAGAAGAAATCTTTCATCTTTCCTCCTCCTCTAATTACTTCTGTAGCTCAGCCTGGTTTAAAGACAGTCCCCCCGCGAATTCCAAATCTGTTGCCTGGTCAGGCATTTAAGAAATACCCCCGCTCACCCCTCATCCATTACCTGAGGTATCCTCCATCTGCTATGACTCCCAGTTTTTCACCTTCTCTGTCTCTGCTTACCATGCAGACCCCGACAGCATCTCCAGTGGCCTCCCATCCTAACCTGAAGGGGATATGCCCTGGTGGGGCAAAGTGTGAACTTTCAGCAGATGAAGAAGTTCAAGTATAGATTATTTATCATTGACTTAAAGCGTTACATGAACGTTTGGCTAAATGTTTTTGCCATATTCCTTAACGAGCATTGCATGTCATGTCTATATCTGTAAGAGGGAGAAAAATATTTTTTACAAGTTAAACATTTTACCTGCCTAATTAATTCACTGCAGGATGTACTCCAGATCTGTTAGGGACCTCCTTGATCATTCCTTTTGAACTTACCTACATTAGCTGTTTGTGTTCTGTATGTTCTAGACATCTAGGGGGAAACTTTCACGCAATGCTTACTCTTAAACTCAGGTGAATAGTTGAGGATGTGTAGAACTTGCTGGATGTCCATGCAGCATACAGAGTTTCTATTTTAGCTGGTCTAACATGTGCTCTGGTGCTGCTAGTAAGGCACAACAGGCATTGCCATTTTTGTCCCTTCCCCCAAACTACTCTTGATACCTGAGCCAAGCACATTTCAGCTGCAGTAAAGAAAAGAAAAGAAAAAAGTTGGTGCTACGTAATATTCAGTGCATGTAGAAGTATATTTACAGACACGCACACATTTCGGAGTGTGCATATTTGTTGTATCAAATCAGCATATAGTTACCAATATTTTTACAGCTTTCTTTTGCTTCAGTATATAAGTAAATGTCTTTGCACCTTCGTTTACATTACCTCGAATGAAACCAGGATAAGTTAGAATTGGCATTTGGTGAATACGAAAAGGCCCTACAAAGGTTCGGTCCCCCCCCCCGCCTCATCTAAAACAAGCAATGGAACGAAATGCTTGCTAGACTGACCCTCTGGGCTCACATTTAACGATTGCTTATTCTGAATGACTGCGCTCAAGGTTCAAAATATCTTGATCCTCTTTACTTCTGTGTAGAAGTGGCACCACTAAAGGCTGGAGGAATAAAAAAGCAGAATTAACATTGTTTCCAGATAACACTGGAAGTAAATGGTAGAATCACAGAGATTCAGAATGGCAAAACAAATCAAAGATACATTCCTAGTGGATGCAGAATGACTACTGCATCTGGTATTTTTGCCTTTGATTTCAGTGAATCTCCAATGCAGTTTACACTGAGATTGTCTGAAAGAAGCATTCGGTGTCGCTGGAGTGCCTTCTTTCAGGCCCCTGACCTGTGCAATTCTACATTCCCTTGGACCTCTTTGAAAAGTGACAGAGTGACATTTATCTGATATATGAGTGCAGCCAGGATTTTCTGGCTTTTAGGGATACACTGGCTTGTACTCATGGTTCTTTGCTTTCCATACCCACAGTGGGATCCATCTACTTGTGTGGTTTATTGGATTATAGCCAGGACCTTTTGCTCTAACTTCTGACTTGCTATAGGAAGCATGAAAGCTTATCAAGATCTGCCACACTAGTTCCCTCACATAGCAGAGTTGTTTTCCCATGATATGAAAGCATACCAAACAAAAGAAAGGAAATGGGCGATGTTAATTTATGAATTCTGTATTTGCAAAATACGTACATGTATATAACAAAGTATAACCAAAAAATGTAAAGTCACGGAAGTGACTTGTATAATTGCATAACTAAATAATGTAACAGTATTTTAAATATAATTTTTATATTTTTTCTACTGTGAACACTTAGTTTTTATTTTTCTTGGTTTTAATGTACAAAAGGTACTAAACTGTAAGGATGCCCAGGGCTTTGGATTACTGGGCATTTCCTGATCCAGCCCTACTAAAGGAAGCAGTTGAGGAAGAGAGGTAAGCGAGGAAGATGGTCCTGAATTCTCCTGATTGGAAACTGATTTTAGAGAATTGACACATTTTGCATTTCTATGCAAGGCCTGGTTCCAGTCACAGCTTATCCCCAGACCTACTCTTTTAAATACACATATATATGTAGTTTAGGTCCCCTAGTAGCTACCATTGGAAGATCTCTGCACAGCTGGAATGTGCCATACTGAAATAATCACCCTCTGTAGATTATTTAGCAATTTGATTTCTAGAGACATGTTCTAACCACCACCACCACCATCACCCCAAAAAAAGAGAAGGGGGAGGAAACCTAGGTGCTTGGACATGGATTTATTTATTTTTTAAAATGCAACCATTTTATAGATGCCTGATGCATTTTGATCATTTCTTCTAGACCTCATTACTTCTAAGGCTTGCTGAAGACCTTTTCATTTCATTTTTTATTTTTAAATATTTTTTATTAATTTTTCATTAATAACAATCCAATCCACATTAATACCATACCAAATCATAATACAATCAAAAGAGCCAATTAATCAGTTCCGAATTCAACATTTTTTTATGACTTCTCATGTTCCGGCTATCAGGAGTTGATGTTATTCCTTGGTTCTGCACCATTTCTCTTAATTAGTCCAAATACAACAATTCCGCTCTTGATCCTTTATTTTAACAGCCGCTGGTGTGATGACTTTCGTTCGTATTTAGCAAATCCATATCCATTAACTTGCAAAGGGAATTTATTTCTTGTAGTTTTCTGTGTGAAATATTTGTTTACATTCTTCTTTTCCTTCATGTTGTAATCAATCAATCCTCTTCAACATTGCCCCTCCCTCAAGCACTTTATTCTCATTACGCCACAGCTTCCATTTTGCCTTTCCAAAACCAAAAGTTTTCCAGCATCCGGCCGTGACTCCTGGCTTACTTCTAGCATTTATCTCCTTTAGTCCTTTCCAATCTATTAACAAGCTGGTGTCTCGCCAAAATCGTAAATAAATCAGAGCCCTCTTTAGTAGGCAATGTCACAAATCATCACAGTATTTCACACAGTCTATTCTTTCCAGTACTCCGTAAAGAAAATTATAGTTCTTGTTGAATCCCTCTTGCATTCTATATATAGTTGTAATTCATTAGTAATTTTATTCCATTAGTAATTAATTAATTCTTCAGTGAAGGCTTGCCAAATCATAGCAAAGCAAATACAATGTAAAAAGAGAACAAAAGCTTCCCCTTCACTTACATAGCAATCCAATTACAACAAGAGTCCGCTCCAGATCAAAACCTTGGCACTCAGTTGATTCATTTAGCAGGTTATCTTTCTCCTTTAGAGCATGTCTGTTTCTTAAGTCCAAATTCAGATCCATCTTAAAAGAAACAAAAGTACCTCCGCTCATGGTGACCGCGTTGGGGGGTTTCCAATATATGCAGTGCTGTGCACTCTGCGTCCCTGCCCCCGCATTCCATCGGACGATTTGCTAGTGAAAGCTCCCCGACCCGGGGGGGGGGGGCTTTGCAAGGATAATTACTCCCAGATTATCCTTAATTAACTGCACGGCTGGCATCCGCTATCATGGGATCTGCAGTCCTAAGACCTTTTCATTTTAGCAGTCATTTTCAGTAAGGTCCTCTGATTTTTATAGTTATTTTCAGCATATATATTTTTAATTTTTTAAAATCTTTTGTTACTTGATAGTACCCTGCTTAGAGACTGCACAGCTGTTCAGCTGTACGTACATTGTTGAAATAAATAATAAAATAAAATAAACCTTCCATCTGTAAACAGTCAGTGGTGACAAGTGCTAGAAACTCACTAGACACCTAAGATTTTGTTGGAACTTTTAAATGAACAAATCTTATCCCAGCACCTTGGGTTTTGCACCTCTCTTTTCCACTATCATTGTCTCCCTTTTTGCATTCTGAATACCAGTGTGGATGCACAGCGATCTGTCCCCGAGATCTTCTCTATCGTGTGAACACATGAGGATGAAACCAGAAACAAACCAGTTCTTTGTATACAGAAGATGTCAATAGAACATCGTATGCCATTGTCATATCCAGGCACGTTTGTCAGGAATCAGTGAGTGATTTCACCCATGCTCTTTTTGTTTCCCAGAATTACCATGCTGTGATCCTCAAAAATCTGATTTATAGAATAGGGTGGAAAACTGATACGACAAGGCTAAAGGTTCGTTGTTCTCCCTTTCAGGTAGATGTTCTAGATTAGTATTTGCAGGTGATAGTACACTAAACAATGGACTTATCCAGTCATCTTCATCACAAAATGGCCATTTTCTGTATCGGCCAACAAGGCATTGGTGCCCCTTGCAGTCTGCCTCCTGACTTTGAATCTAGTTGTCATTGTTGCATTCCTTTTTGAAAACATTAGCTGTAAGCCGATTCCCCCCTTTTTAGCAAATATATGCCACACTCTGCATGGGATAATCAGACTTAAGAAACTTTGTTCCGTCAAGGTTTTTTTTATTTCATTTTTCTTTTTAATATATATATTTACTAATTCTGTGTCCAAAACTGTGAACTACATTAAGCAGATGTATTTCTGTCTCATGTGTGGCTGGACTGAAAAATGTGAATATACAAGGAAACAGTCTGCAGTAAATCATATGTCAGCTCTTTTCACCTCACTTTTTTATTCTCTGTGTAAACAATGTAATTTGTTTAAGTTATTGTGAGTTTAGTTTTCACTTGCCTGAAAAAGTCTATTGTCTGATCAGTGGAGAGAGAGAGAAAAGATCAGTATATACTAGTGATGGAGGAGCAGGATTTGTTAGTGGAAAAATATATTAAGCCCAAAGTGCAAAAACTATAAAATAAGATGGTTTGCTGGGGTTTTTGGCGGGTTGCCACTCTGAATTGACTTGCTTAACAGCCAGTGAATTATAGTTGTGTAATTCAGGGCCAAATGAATAGAAAATGTGATCTATTGGTCATAATATTTTTTTTGCACAAAGAAAAACATATCGCTGATCTAGAGAAAGTTGGTTATGTCTAAGGCAGTGAAGTGAGCCTGTGAGTATGCCAAACTTTAATTCATAGTTAGCCTATGTAGGCTTGTGCTGCACATTTCATTAATTCCTAAAGGACATAGGTAGGGTAAACCTTTTCTAGAGCACTGCCAATAACCACAGGGATTTCCCTATATAGAGCCTATATAGGATAAATTCTAAACCTAAATAAGTTGTGTTCTGCTTCAGATAAAGAATTTAGCTGCATTTATTGCATTTCAGATTTAAATGCACTGTCATTTTCAAAGAGTTGCTTGCAGCATAATGTACATGTAGCACTTAGAGACTCAGTAATTTATTGCAGCAAAGGCTTTTGTGGGCCAGAACCCACTTCATCCGATGTGCAAATTGGTTTCCAAACTGTATGAGTATTTCACAGTGCTCTGCTTAGTACAGTGGCATACATACAGCTTTTCTTTTATTTATTTTACATTGCTTATCCTTTTGGCCTCAATTAAAAATATACATTTTTCATTTTCTTCTTTCTAATATATTAACCTAATTCAAGTGATATTTTATGCGTCTAATACATGAGCTCTGCCTCACAAAAATATACACCATAATAATAAATCTGTTGGGTGGTGTTTCAACTAAATTTTATTCAGAGTGGAGCCATTGAAATTAATGGACCTGACTTAGTCATTAATTTTAATGCATCTACTCTGAGCAAAACTTAGTTGAATTTCACCTGTTAAGGATAAGATCGGAAAACGAGAAGGCTTCAGACTCATTCTTGACATATGAATTGTTAGCAGCATTTTGTGCTGATCTCACACCAAGAATGCCAACCCTCTAGGTGATGGCTGTAGAATCAACTAGTGCAATAGCTACTCACTGATTACTTATTCCTGTGCATATTTTATTGACCATAGACATTTAGGTTTTGTTTGGTAGGGGTTTGTTTAGTAAATTCATGTGCTGCAAAACATGAGTGCATTGCATCCTTCTTCTCCCCTTGCAAAAGTTTGGGTAGCAGAATGTTCATAGTAATTATCTCTTCCCTTGTCAGAATGCTCTGAACCAGGCTGAGCTTCCTTACTCCAGGTTTAGGGGGTTCTGCCTGTTCAGAGTAAAGAATCTGTCTTTTGTTTTGAGGAAAATGTCTTCACTGATTTTTTTTTTAAAGTAATATAGAAAAATATGTTTTACATAAACTTTCTTAAACTTAAACTTGCTGCATCCTTAAAGGCTAAATGGCCACATTTCTCCAGAATCTTCTCTCAAAGAAACTTGAAGATTGATTCAAATCAAAGAACAGAATAGTGTTGTGGCTTGAACCAACCCTGCCAGGACAAACAGGCTGCAGGAGGACTTGGATTCAGCCCATACGCAGCACCTGGAAGAAACAGAGTACCAGTGATGTAATTGGCAACACTGAAATGATTCCCTTCAGTGTAGTGGATATAAAACAGCAGGGAATGTGTTTCAGAAGAAGAGACATCAAGAACCTGGAATCTAACACAGAAAAATGTGAGTGTGCGTGCACATTTGTATGCCAAGATTGGAGTGAATTTCCTTATGATTTAGCAAGAATCTCTTGCAGGATAAGGCATCGGACTTCCCATACCCAAACCCATATAAATAAGAGACCAATCAGACTGGGTTTTGGGTAAAAACAGTCCACAGCTTTATTGACTACAGATGAAAAAGTTTTGGCTTGGGCATGGGGCAATCTAAATACTTCCGGCCCACCTGCCAGAAGTGACGCAGGGGTTCCTAAAACTTACACCAAATAGGGTGACCCCCGCAGGGGCAGTTGTCTGGGGGAGTGCCTTTGGCCCTGGCCCCCCTGGGCACGCAGACATGGCCACTCCCCCAGGATCCCTTTGATGGGATACCCCAGTGTTTGGAGGGGCAG